GAAAAAGTAACCACCAGAGATAGCAAATCCAGTGAAATGCATGTCCAAATGAGCTAAAGATTTGAAACAGTAAAAATACACTATTCTTCCTTGTCATTTCAGAGCGGGGAGCTGAAAAGGGAAATCTCCACCAACACTGAGCAGCTTCAGTCAGGAAAGAGTGAGATCACAGATCTAAAACGGACTCTCCAGAGCTTGGAAATTGAATTACAATCTCAGCTTGCCATGGTATGTTCTAAGGAAGCTGCTAGCTAGAGAGAGTACATGTTCCATCTTCAAAGGTGTCAGATCTTACACTGCTCTATAGGATTTAAGATTTGTATTTATTTCCTATTAAAGCCTGTATTCTTTAGTTCCTAAATAGCAGTAGTATCTGTAATTGGATTGCAAGTAGCATGCTATAAAGCAGATGAACTTTTATGTCCATATTCAGTGAAGCAGCAAAGGCAAGTTTTCAAATTGGTATTTCAAGGAAAAAAAAGACACAAAAAAAGTAATGAGGCTGTGTTGCTCCCATTAAACTACTGCAATTGCTTTTGTCTTTGTAAAGAATTTGTTTTCCTCAAAGATTATTTAATGTCCTCCTACACAGAAAAAATCCCTTGAAGACACTTTAGCAGAAACAGAAGGAGGTTACTGTGCCCAGCTTTCACAAATGCAGCTTCAGATTGGGAACCTGGAGTCTCAGTTGTTCCAGGTCCGGGCTGATATGGAGCGCCAGAATGCAGAGTATCAACAACTCCTGGACATCAAGAGTCGCCTGGAAATGGAGATTGAAACCTATCGCCGCTTGCTGGATGGCGAGTTTGTGTAAGTAACTCCTTTACATTAAATCATAGAAACATAGAATTGGGTTGGAAGGGACCTTCAAAGGTCATCTAGACCAACTCCTTACAGATGCCATTTATCCATTATATTTCCTGCAGCAATATCCTTTCAGGACAAAAAAAGTAAACCCAGGGGGCACATTCGCCAAAAGACAGTAAAGCACATCCACTGCTTCTGAAATGACACAGATGCCCTCTGACTGGGGAGAATGAACCATTCTGCTCAGTATTTGAAATAACCCACCAGTGCCAACGTGTAAATCTCTCCTGACCTGACAAACCTTCTGCAGTATTGTGTGTCTCTGTTTCACTTTCAGGAACTCAGGACAGGGAGTGACATTTGAAAGCTCATCCTTGACAGGGTGCAAATCTCAAACTCAATCACTGGATTCTTCTCAGGGTAGGTAGAACTTGACTAAATTAAACTGTTTCTAAAGTCATTCAAATAAATAAAATAATACATCCTATTCTGTTTAACTATATCAGAGAGTTTGTGGTAACAAGAAGCCACTTTGAAAGAGAAAGGCTGTAACTATTCACGTTATGCATGCTGCTCTGGTTTAGCATCTTTCACACTTTGAGAAATGCTTGTTTTATTTTGTTTATGATGTTTAGATCCTACCAAAACTAGAAAGATCAAGACAATTGTCGAAGAGGTGGTAGATGGAAAAGTTGTTGCATCCCATGTTAAGGAAGTTGAAGAGAAGGTATAAGGCACAATCTGCTACTGCAAAAGATCCAGTCACTCCACGACTTTGCAAAGACAAAATGGATAAATGATTTTGTTCTTATGTATGAAGTGATAAAAAATAGTTGGCTTTTTACTAAGATTCCTTCACATAACACAATGCCTGCAGCACTTTCATTCTTAGCCACCATGCAATGTATTTTCTGCTTCAGCCTATTGGTGTGACCTGTTGTATTTTCACAGTGCTCTTAAAATATATCCTCAATTCTTTGCTCAATAACTGGACATATGGAGCAGACATCAGACATTTAATGAGATGGGCTTTTTAATCATTTTTACCAATTAATATACAAAATAATTTTGCTATTCTAACCTCATTTTCCATATTTCTTGACTAATAAAAAGGACGCAACAAGCTTTAATATATTAGTCTCCCTTTTTCATTTAGGACTGCTGCCCTTGATCTGTATTTCCCATTCCATTGGGTATCTTGTTCGACCCCACCATGTGTGTGTTACAGCACTCCCCAAGAGCTTAAAGAAATTAATCCAGTGCTAGAATAAAGAAACCTTGCTTAAATGTGGGACTAAAGGCATGCTTACAGTCTATATTTGCAATAGACCAGGCAGACGAGAGGGGATGGTGGGTTTCCATGTCCCCAGGTGCCACCTGGTGGGAGCACAATATGATCTCGGGAACCCTGATGGGCTTCCGGATGACCAATTCAAATAACTACACAAAAGAATCTCATCCAAAACAAAACTATGAACCAAAATACAATTCCCTTAAACATACACGTAAGCCTTTGTCCTTGAGCCAAAAAGTCGATTTTTGTGTGATTCTCAGGTAAGACAAAGAAGTTCCTGTGGCCTCTGACATGCAGATTGCAATGTCTCTACAATACAAACGTTTTGCACATTCTACCACACTGCTAAAAGGCTTGACCCAAAGCAGAAGTTTAACAGGAGCACAGTTTTCATGCTGTCCTTCCATTCTGCCTTTTGTAAACCCCACTGCTGGCAGGTTTTCTGCTTCCTGATGCAAGCCAATAAAAACCAAAGTCATCAAGGCAATAATCAAAGAACAACTTCACAGCAATCCCAGCTGCAATCCCAGAATATGATTAGAGAGCAATTTTAAGATTAGAGACTGAAGGACATTCTTTCTCTTCCTAAAACAGGACAGTATTCATCATGTTTCTTTTCTACCCATATTTTTTTCCCCTGTGTGAAAAACCTGAAGCCCTGTCATCTTCCCCCTTATTGACAGCATCTCCATTTTGAGGAGAAAAACGTCTCTTTTATCGTCTTCTTCCAAAGACATTTATACTTTCAGAAATATGAAATAAAGACCATACCTCAAGGACCGTGACTGTGATTGCCATGAAATCATGATTCCCTATACCATTCAATATAGATTTCCACTGAATAATCTTGTAGTTTATCTACACATGCATTAATCCCAAATTCAACATCTGGAGTGAAGATTCCATGTGTGTAAAACCCAGAAACCACTCAAGCTCATCTTGTGAGAAAGCAACAACAGTGAACCAAAGCAGCTTGCCATCACTATTACATTATCACACTGTACCAAAGGATCCAAACAACTCTTGCATTTGAACTCTAAAGTTAACTAAAATCCAACATCTATAACAAAACATGAACGTAGCTAGAATCCAAAATTACATCAATATCAATAAAAGTGGATGCTTGCACGCACCTACCTTCAAGATCTCGTCGCCAGAGTTTCTCTTTACACCTGAAAAAAAAGATGGAAAAAGAAAGCATTAGAGATGTCTTTTTAAAAAAGCTTTTAAAAATTGTATCAACTGGCAAATGTTTGGCTCCTGGTAATGTGAAGCTTCAGCCATAGATGCTTGTTGATGCATAAAGTTTAGTTTCTGGGACCAAATCCAACATCCCTGCAGACCTCCATACTGTATTTCTGACTTTAGTCTTTCTGGCCTCACTGCTGGCCACTGGGCAGCCTTGACTTTGCCTGCTGGAAAGAACATGTCCTTAGTCCCAGAGAGCTGAAAGCAAACCTTAAACAATCACTACTGCAATGCAAAGATAAAAGAAGATTCTAAATTACATTTCAAGTTCTTATTTGCTTAAATACATGGGCTCTTCCTACTGTTTATACTGTCCTAAGTTATAATATCTTACGTTGGTTTGATGGATTCCTGATGGTTTTATTTGTGACTGTTCTCATACCACCAAAGAAAAACGTTGTCAATATTTTAGTTATGCCACTTATAGAAAAGATAGTGACCAACAAAAGATTCTCATCTCAGTCCAGGTCAGCTGAAAAACAGGCAGCTAAGAAAAATAAAATCAGAACACAGGATCCTTTCACATGGGCCAGCAGACAGAGCCAAGAACAAGGAATCCTTATGCACACAAGGAAACTTTCCAGTGGTACAATACTTTGACTTCTAAAAAGACAAGCATCTTGCAAAAGGTTACTGCCTTTTTTTGTCTAATTTCAGGGATGTGTATTCTTATTTGGAGCCTAAAATGCCATCTGTCTAGTGATACTTTTTTACTGAAATCTGGAGGAGTTTTTATTAAGTATCTGGTATTGCACATTACTAAAAACAACGAAAAATAGGTGAAAGCTGTTCTTTGCAAACAAGGTCGTTGGGATCAGGCAGCAGCTACAGTGAGCCAGGAAATGAGGAGTAATTTACAGCAAATACAGTACAGCAGACAGCCTCCACTCTTGTCCTCCCTGGTAACTGCCCAGGAAAGGTACAAGATTTTACACTGCCTGCACACTCTGTGAGCTGCACACTGTTTGTACATGGTAGGGGTCTGTGAATCCCCCCTCAGAGAGAACCCTGGCACTTCTGGCAGCAGTTAGCTTTGGCAGAAGCGCTGATTCCCCAGATCTTTGCACAGGCCAGAAAAGGAGCCAAACCCCTCAGCAATGCTGATTCCTCTTCCTCTTTGTGTCCTGCCCGTAAAACCACTGACAGGCTGGGTGAGAGAGAGGGTGTGCAGGAGCTCAGCTCTTTTTCCAGTCTTCATCACTGGATCAGGTCACCCAAGGCTTGCCCTTACCGAGTCTCAAAACCCCTCAAGGGTGGAAATCCTGTAACATTCCCAGTAACATGCTCAGTGGTGCACAACTCCCCAGTGAAGGCCAGTTTAGAGGCACTGTCACCAGCACTGGGGTACTGCTGGGAAGCTGCTCCCTTCCCTTTTGCAGCTGCACTTTCACGCTGCACAGCTGTAATTTTGTCCTTTGCTTTGTATCGCATAATCTCGTATTTGTAAGGTTATAAAACCCCACAGTTAGAGTACAACAACAACATAAAGACATTGCATATGTTCATTTCGGCCATCATTATCAATCCCGCTGCGAAAGCGACAGACCTTTGCTTTCTCGAAGCTGCCTTTAGAAGGGAGTTCAAACCCCCGGCGCTCCCCAAAAGCCCGGCTCTGCCGCTTTAAGACCCGCCACGGGCGGGGAGGCCCGGGCAGCGACGGGGGAGAGCGGAGCTGCTCCGGCGGCTCCCGGCGAGGGGGACTCGCTCCCCACCGGGGATCAGATGAAGGCCATCACCTCAGCGAGGACCCAGGTAATGCCTCCACACAGCCATACAACCTCCAGAGCAAGGAGCCGTGCCCACTCTGTACAGTTCCTCCCTCAGCCTCTCGGAGGTACAGTATTTCCTTTTCAATGCAGCATATTGCCGGGGAAGGGTTGTGATTTTACTGCAGTAAGATGTTATCTGGAAGACAGGGATGCAGATTTTGCTCAGGGTATGAAATTCACACTGAATGAGTGCCATGTAATTCATCTGGCTGGTTTTCTGTACCTGCAGCAGGGATAGTGTTGTGATTTAAAAAATGATGACATATGCTGTAGCATGGTAACCTCTAGCTCCATGGAGGTATCCCAGAGGAGGAGAACCGTGCAAATCAAAGACAATGTGGAGAATTCATGTATATACAACTTACTGGTTTTAGTACCTATATTAAAGCAAACTGTACCCATTCAGGGAACAGTATTTTATAGTGTTCACAGTAAAACTGTGTTATACTCCTTGGCAAGTAAGTCTGATCTTTCATGCAGACTGATTCGATGTTATCAACACACTGCTGCTATTACAGATTTACATACAAAACACCTCTAAAACCCAACTGAACTTGGAAATAAAACAGCCAAACACTTTTTGGCCATCAAGCATTAAGAAAGTCAGGGTGAAAAATAGGTACTCTATCACCTTGTTTTACTTCTTGGGTATTGCAGAAATTCTGGAGGTTTATTTTAATCCCAGGCCTGGCTGCTGCTGCAGTCAGGGTGATCCCCACAGCAATGCAATGGCTGTAAACTAGACAGCTAAACCAGGTTTGTATTTGTGTTTAGCACGAAGCAGCCAATGTGTATTCATATAATCTTGTCACATCAGTTCTGCAGTACCCAGGCAAAAAAGGGTAAGCAAAGAGTATCCAGTGTTCACTTGTGGATTAGCCAAATCTAGATTCTTCACCAAAACAATGGCATGGTAAAAACACAGCACATCAGTATGTTATGGGGGTAAAATAAACTTATTCTACTTGTCATGTAAGATCTGAACTAAAGAGCTGATGGCATTGTAAGAACCTACATAAAGCAGTAAAATATGCAGAAGAGCATGTTTTGTTTCAAGTGCTTATGGCATCTTCACCACTTACAGTAAAACTCAGAACTGACAATCTCAAACCTCATCAACGACGAGGTCACACAAAACCATGATCATGCAAGCACTCCGAAGTGCTCCTGCTGTTCTTTCCAACTAAATATTGTTATGTATCTATTTTATTTTCATTATTTGACTGTATTTTTTAATATTATCATCTGTCTTTTGTACCTGCTGTAGACAGAAGAAGCTACAATTAAAAGAATGGACAAAGATGCAGAAGCATTAAAGGCAGCCCGAGCAGAACTCTGTGAAGCGAGGCGGCAGTGGCACCACATGCAGATCGAGATCGAATCTCTGCACGCTGTGGTAAGCACCATAACATGAAACTTGAAATCTGAAAAAATTACACCTATTTTCTCTTGGTGTAAACTACATCACAATTCTGTTTCTGTAACAGTCATGTCCACTATACTGCAGAAGCAGAATACACACAGAAACACGCAGCTTTGGGGTGTACTTTCAGCTCGTCACACAGAGCCTGCACTAGCAACAACCCAGTTGTATGTTCACATGCCACCCAACAGGCATGTTTGCATGTTTTCACGCCAGCCAAACATAGATTTGCATGATGCTCGGTTCTCAAGCTCCCAGTCACTCTGCCTAACCAATTCACACCAGGTTTAGAACTAGTTTTGAATGTGTGGGCCACATCTATCAATTCATTCATAATAAAGTATGGCAGCCATTTACTGAATTCAGTAATACAGACAAGCTACGAGACCACACAGGCTGCCCAGGTTTCACACAGTTCTCATATGAATATTGTTTTAACCGTACAGGTAAAACCAAAACTCTGTAAAATCAGTGGCAGTGGATTGCTGGTACGACAGCAGACTGCATTTACTGTTTTTCATCCAATTTTATTACAGATTTTACTGGAAAATATCTCAGTAAAAGTATTATCTTGAAAGCTTTACTCCTTTTCCTACAGAATATTCTTAGAAACTGATGTAAAAATACACAGATTGCTAAGGAAAAGTCCATACAGCATCTTTACACATATAAATCTTAAAATTTTAAAGAGTTAAATTTCACAGGAAAGGGGTTTGGAACGTTCGCTGCGTGCCACAGAGCAGCAGTACCATATGCAACTACAAAACTTGGAATCTGAGGTTGAATGCTTGGAGAAAGAGCTACTGGAAATGAGAAGAGGTATTGAGAAACAGCTTCAGGCACATGAAATTCTCCTGAACACCAGGATGAAACTGGAGGAAGAAATAGCAACATATCGCAGCCTGCTGGAGCAAGAAGAGAACAGGTACTTGTTCAGAGGAAAAGTACTCAAACTGATCTTCCATTTCAGAACTTCTCATTGAAATAATCAGCAGAATTGTAAATACATCAATCAATCATTACAAAACTACACTATAAAATCCTTTAAAATGGCTTCATTGTTGCATTCATGCTTCCTGGCACTCAAAGGACCTCCACAGTGCACTGCAGGGTAACAGCACACTCAGTGCATCCTGACACTTTGTAGCCCATGAGCTGTCTGCTGTGGGCTGTTTGCCTCAGAGCGTTGATGAAGCAAGTCCACACACATGAAGTTCTGGGACAGGAGTTTGGCTCATCATGTGACAGATGTCCATTTGCACGTGGAGTTCATACTACTCAGTATCACTCAAAGCATGTGAAGGCACACATCAGGATCTGCCTCCTAGTGCCATTTTGCTTTGGTGGTAACTCCTCCTGCCTGCCCCTTCCCCAGAGCACACATACCACTGTTTCAGAAGGCAGACACAAGAGAGGAGGCAATGTAGACATAAGCAAGAAGGAGGATACGGAAAAGGCAAAACGCTTAAAATAGCACATTTCACATTTGGTACTAGAATCTTAACAAAATGAGATACACAATTCTGAATCTTTCAGTCCTTCCCACAGCAAATGGAGTTTCAGTCCAGGAACCTCACTCACACTTTTGCCTAAGAAGATTCCAAGCAGGGCAGTCAGTTTCAAATGTAATGTTTACAACTGTGAAAATACAACTCGGTACCAATATAACAAATAACTCTTCCTAGCACACAACAAACTGAAAACTGTCACTTTCTTCAATTCTCTACTCAGAATGAGAAATCCCAACAGTTACATCACTCAAACACAACTTCTTGGGGCTCTCATATTTTTACATTTCTCATAGCAATTCATATGACAAGCACTGGGTTAAAGTCACTCACTATTATTAGGAGACTGTCATGATTTTTCTTTCTGCAGGTTTCGCTGCTGTACAGCTGAGCAGAAGGATGACAAAAAGCCCACCACCAGCAAGATTGCCTTTACACTGCCTTCAAGTGAGTTTTTAGACACTTTCCCCTTAAGGAATTATGGCCCTAAAGGAAGTTACTCACTGCTGACAAATGATGGGATATTACAACAGGATCTTCTTCCAATGCAGCAGGACAAAAAATACCTTTAGGTCCTGCAGCCTGCCCAGTGTATCTATGATTTTTTTACAGGTGGTGTAAAGGAGCATGAAACTGAGAAGCTGGAAGTGCTGACAAAACAAGCAATCCTAGATGGAAACATTACAAAGGGAAGCGCTGAAGCTCATGGCACTGTACAGTAAGATAAACATAAGTTTAACAAAATAACAATTGAAAGTAAACGGTGGGCAGTAGCTCTGACTTGTTCTTTACTTAGTAGCTGCTGTATCTCACCATACAGCCAAGAAGATCTAGAACAGTGATTGTTCTTGAAGGTGTATTGAACTGCATATATTAACAATACATTAAATTTTAAAGTTCTTTTTATTGGCATTTACTTCCTAAGTTAACAATACCATGATGATGCTTCCAATCTGTAATTTCTATTTCTGCTAAGAATGAAACTATAATAATTCATCTAGTTAAGGCTAAAAGCAATAGAGCCCAGACCATGTTCACAAAGTCCCCCTGGGGCATTTATGCACACAAATTCAGGCTTGGCTGCTCTGACTTGCTATTTGGAAACTCCTACTTTTCACCAGCTACCAAACAGGGAACAGAGAACTTGGCTCCTAAGCAGCATGTGAAGGGCTGTTACTATGTGTTATTCACCTTAAATTACTTTAATAGTTTGCCTCATCAGTTTTTTTCCCCTGCTGTTCTTTAAGCTCTTCTGCAGACTTGAGTTTAAAGTTACATTTAAAGCTAACTATGGTGTCCTGTGTCACCAATGCTTAACTGTGATCAGCTGCTGAAAACATGTAGAAATTCAGATTAAAAATTAATGCCAGCATGCACACTCCCGTGCTGAAGCCCATTCTCATACACCAGCTTTGATCACCTTAGTTAGATTTCTGAGGTTTGGATCTGAACTACATTTTTCTCCTATTTTGAAGGCTTTCAGATGCACGAATTCTGCCCACTATAATACGGAGGTTTCTTGCAGAGCTTTTGAGCTTGGATTCCAGACTTTCTCCTTGGAAACAAACTGCCTGATGTGTTCAGAGCAGTGGGTTTGTATCCATGCCTACTTAAAAGTACAAACCCAAGAATATAATGAACCCTCACCCTTTATTTGGCTTTTCTGGAGAGTGAATCTGTGAAAAAAAACCCAAACAAAAATTCCAGTGTCTTGGTACCCATCTAAAATAATCTGACACTTCATTATGCAGTTTCAGCAGCCCTGAACATGGAGAATTCATATTGTTTAAAAGATCATAAATACATTTGCTCTGTTGTTTCAGGACAGAAAAAGTGGATGAAGTCATTAAAGAATGGGAAGGTTCTTTCTTTAAGGACAACCCTCGTTTAAGGAAAAAGTCTGTTTCATTGCGCTTTGATCTCCACCTGGCAGCAACAGATGAAGGATGTTTACACACTAAAAAGAAAACTCTTCCTGACATCGAAGTCAGGCTGGTAATGAGGAGATCTTGCAGTATTCCTTCCATCAAACCTTAACTGATAGCAGATTAACCCAAAGTTCATTTCCAACAGGCTCTGGAAATATAGATGGACTTACACAGCCTGTATCCTGCTACAACCACAAATCTTACTAAGTACTTTGATTAATACAATAAAACCATACAAGTCTTTTAAAAGAAAGGGAGAAGAGCTAGGGAGTTAAGATTCCAAGAAGCCTAACTTCTACTAGTTTTATACTCTGGGTGCAGCAGTTCAGAGGAGGCCACGAGGATGATCAGCGGCAGGAGCACCTCCCATACAAAGACAGGCTGACAAAGTTGGGGCTGTTCAGCCTAGAAAAGAGAAGCTGCGTGGAGACCTCAGAGCAGCTTCCAGTATCTAAAGAAAGCCTACAAGGATGCTGGAAAGGAACTTCATCAGGAACTGTAGTGACAGGACAAGGAGTGATGGGTTTAAACTTGAACAGGGGAAGTTCGGTTTAGATCTAAGGAAGAAGTTCTCCCCTGTGAGGGTGGTGAGGTGCTGGCACAGGGTGCCCAGAGAAGCTGTGGCTGCCCCATTCCTGGCAGTGTTCAAGGCCAGGCTGGACAGAGCCTTGAGAGATATGGTCTAGAGTGAGGCATCCCTGCCCATGGCAGGGAGCGGAACTTGATCTTAAGGTCCTTTCCAACCCAAACCATTCTATGATTCTGTGATTATTGTGGTTTTGTAGAATTTCACCAAATATTGCAAAACTTAAACTGCAACTTTATACTTCAATATATTCTGCCTTTGTAAAAGAGAACTTGTTTTCTCTTTCTAGAAATGAAAAATACATATTTTATTCTCTTAATTATTCAGTACTGACTACATAGAATGACTGATGAATCCTTGTAATGATTTATATCACAACTGTCATACTTCTTGAAATATATTTTAAAATAACACTTTCTAACAGCATAAATGACATAAAAATATGCTCTTAAAGGAATTTTCTTTTAGAAGTGGCTGGTACTTTTAAATTGATTTTTAAGGCAACAGCTGAGCTAAAATGTCTTTCAATTACATGACTATACACATATTTTTAAGAGCATTGTTACAAACCAACAACATTTGAGCCATATTGCTCTACTGGTTTTGAAGCAGTAATTTCCACTGAAAATCAACCAGTCTCTTCTGTGTCCACACGTATCTGTACAATTTTCTTAGCCACACCAAGTCAAATTCTCCTCTTTAATTATTCAAATATAAGGAGACAACCCATTATCTCAATGCTATTTAATTTTGTTTCTTATAACAATGGAATCTTCAACAGATTCCTCTCCTGACAGATATTATATGTCAGTTTTGCTCTTGACCTAGTACATGTAACAAGTCACTATTATGCCAGAGTACAACTATTATTCCTTCAAATTAAATGGACTAAATAAGGGCTGCATATTCAAAGTAAAATTCTACCATACCCAGTAAGTATCCTCCACTCCTACACAGAGCAGCAAATACAAAGTACAGTAGATGATCTGGCATCCGTACACAGAAAAAAAAACAGAAATGCAAACTCAGACATATTTCTTTATAATGTTTTGAGCCAAATTTCCAACAAAAATTCAAATAAAATTGTATTCAGAATGATTGTGTATGTGGATTTTGAAGAGGCATGGATGTCACCAACTCACCCAACTCACTGGGATTGAAGGGGCTTAGAATCTACAGAGACCACGTAATGGATTTGCTGGATTCACAGCAGCATGCGAGAGATTAATTAAAGTGACAGCATTTGCCTTATTATTCACGGCATGTGTTACACTGATACTACAAATTCCTTCAGTGATAATTTATGCTTCTATCTTTTGTTAATGATAAGAACAATGTATTTGTATTTTCAACAGTTCTAGATCTGCTGTATGAAGCTGTTTATCATTAACCTTAATACTGATCTGGTGTTATTAATACTTGAGTAATTGGCATCCTGAATGTATTCGCCTGCTCTAGTATTTTAACTATGCAGCTTTTTTTTTTTGTGCTTATACTCTGTACGTTTTACAGTACTTGAATTTAAACTAAGTTTTAATTGCTTTAAGGCACTTTAAAACAGGGATACAAATTTACCAAAGTAAATTATAGTCCTACAATAAAAAAGTATTAAATTTGAGTTTGCCCATGCATATTGTGCGAGTTTTAATTTGCATACCCTAAAGGGAAAGTAACAGAGAAATATAAAATAAAGGCCACAGACAAGAAAATCTGTAGCACTGCAATCAAGCGTTTTCTAAGCTCTCCTCTACAATCAAAAGACACAAATTCCCTAAGAATCTTTATCATAACATGTGAGTGTCCTGCTACAAAAAGTACTCTTTTCCTGTAAATCCCATAACCCTCACTACATCTCAAGTCCTCTACATAGGAAAAAGTATTCACAGTAACACTCACCCTGATCTTACGTCACTTTAGAGCTGAATTAAAATAATATAGAACGGAAGCTTGATAATATGTCAAAGAATTCGGTTCTGTACTGCCAATTCAATTCAGAGCAGCTGAGCTATTGCCATCTCATACCTCCAGATGTCTGGCATAAAAGCAGGTTTCACTGTCTCAACCTACTTTCCAATCAATGTATGGCCTCATTACAAAGCTGTTGTAATTAAAACAGCTGGGGATGAGCCAGCTATTTCCAGCCCCCTGGTTCATATGATGCAGTATAAACACTCCCATTAAATCCATAAAACTACTCGTTATATAGAATTTTTAAAACTCAGGCAAAACCTCTCACTTTCACAACGTGGAAAGCAGGCAAACAGCAAAGCAAAAAAAAAACAACAACCACAAAACAAAGGAAGGAATACTCTGCTGGCTTTGAAAGCACACAGAATGATTCAGAACCTTTAGCATGGAAAGTGAGCGTCAGTAGCATATTTGAAAACCATGTTTCAACAAGCCGTGCAAATTTAGAGTGTATTTTAACACTATCAACATTAAATGCATTTTAACACTATCAACACCACCACGTTATCGATAGAGATCAGTGTGGGAAGCAGTCAAAACCAGGTGGGAAACCAGTTATTTTTCAGCTCTTAGTAAGTATTTTCTCACCTTTACTTTACAAATATTCTGCCAGGGTGAAATTCGTCGACTGAAGATGGGTGGGCTGCCTGAGGAATTTCTTTGATTCTTATTTTAATTGTCACACATTATTCTACTGCATACCAACGAGTTCCCATTGTGGCCACAGACACCGCACTGAAAGCAGGGCAGAGCTCTTGTCTCTTTACTTGTCCATAAAAATATTTAAAAACGGAAGGAAATTGGGCTAAAAGAACTGCAGGCATCAAGGAGAAATGGGTTTAACTCGCAGCAATGTGGTACCATTTCAGTTAGTTTTTTCTTCATCTTTTACTGTCCTTTTCGGTTAAGTAGGGATCACCCATTTGAACCATATCAGTCAGATGACCACATTTCAATGCCAAACGTTACTTTTTTATACTTAATTCAGTCACTTTCATTATTTTCACTGTATAAAAGACTCCTACCCTGAATGCTGAGGTCTGAAATTCTTCACCTTCCTCATGTGGTGTTCTGCTGTTTGGATTTGCAAGCTTTTTGACCACTCCATGCGAGACTTCCACAAACTTCTGCCAGGATCCATTCCGGATAACCTCACTCCTCCCAGCCTGCTGTAAATCATCATCCCCTGTGGCCCAGCAGCTGCTTGAGTGGCTGACTCTGATTTAGCCTGAAATTGACCAGCGAACTACCCAGATTTATCGGGTCTCTCGCGCATCCTGCACGGCCAGCCTTCCTCCCCTCACACCCCGCCGCTGTCCCGCCTCCTCGGTATCCTGCTCCGATTCAGCCTCGCTTCTTAGAGCTGCCGTTCCCAAACCACCATTTTCAGCCCCGCTCTGCCTACTTGACACGAGCAAAGCGTCCCCAGGCCTGCCTGGACCCTTCACCTCACTCCCTGCCTGCCTTTGACGTGGTTCCCCTGCGGGTCTAACGCCGCAGCGCTGACTCCAAAGGCCCTCCGCAGCGCCGGTCATGGCGCCTCACGCCGCTATCACGCGCTCCCTCACGGCATGAAAAAAGGCGCCAAACACCACGTGCCAACGGCCCCTCCCTGGCTGCTTGTTCGCCGCCGCAGATTCGCCGCCGCAGATTCGCCGCCGCAGCCGGTCCCAGCTACCGGCACGAAAGCAGCGGTCGGTGCTGCCCAGCGGGAGGTGGGGTGGGCTCCCTGTACAGGGCGCTGGGTGGAACGTAATGGCGGGCAGTTTCCCACCCGTACCTTTCCCTCACTAACACGGGATGAATGGGATTGAGCCTGGGGCGGGGAGGAGGCGGTGCTTCCCACTCCCCTCCTCAGGAGGTCCGGTCACAGCCCCTACTGGCGGGGAGGAGGTGCCTTTCCGGTAAGGGCTGAGATGGGTGCGGCGTGAGGATCCCGCAGATTCGTCACGACAGCTGCCAGCCACTACCGAGCAAGAAGCGGTGCGGAGAAGGGCTCGACCCGGCCCTGCAGCGCCTCCGGAACGAGCAGAGGAGGCCAAACCGCCTCCGCATTCAAACAGAGACCCCGACGGTGAGCTGCACGGGGGCGGCGGCGACGTGTCGAAAGTGCGGAGCGCAGCGCGCAGGCGCTGTCCTCGCCGCCGCCCCGGCCTGGTGAGGAACAAAGGGAGCGAGGCCGGAGCGGGTGAGTCGGGGCGAGCGGGTTTGGGGGGCGCGGGCAGGGGCCTGGTTGGGGCGGGAGGGAACAGATCTCGTCCCCGTCGGCCGCGGCTGAGGTTGAGGGGGCCGCGCCGGTGGGGCCCAGGGGTGTGCACGGGGCTGCAGCGGCGTTTCCCTGCGGCGGCAGGAGCGAGGTGGGCTCGGCCCTGGCGTGGCACGGGGAAAGGCGGTGGGGCTGAAGGGCCCCTTTCTGGGCTTTGAGCGCCTCCAGCCTTGCAAGCGAACCCATATCGAAGAGTTTAAGCAAGCGCGAAGCGGTGTATGGCGTTAGTCGGGAAACGTCCATCGGATTCCGGCTGCTGGTGCGATCTCTGGGGAGTCCTTTGAAGAAAAAGGCCGATAAAAACCCCAAACCGCTTTGTTAATGCGCTTCCCGTGACCCCGATGGGCTGCTGAAGGGTCAGTGAGGTCGCGGCCTGTGTGGCGGCAGCGGTGTGCTCCGTGATTGGGGTTTTGTACCGTGTAAAGCAGATACTGTTTAGTTTGAACATTAATACCAGTTTTCTGAAGCAGTGTAAAATAATGGGCTATTCTTTTATTTGTTGAGGGAAAAAATATATATCCTTAATATGAGCAAGATAAGCCTGAGCATTATTTCACAGCTGATTAGTTGTGAAATGGCTTTAAGCTGCCAGAGGGGAGACTGAGCTGAGCTCTTAGGCAGAAGCTCTTCCCTGTGAGGCTGCTGAGGCGCTGGCACAGGGTGCCCAGAGAAGCTGTGGCTGCCCCATCCCTGGCAGTGCTCAAGGCCAGGTTGGACACAGGGGCTTGGAGCAAGCTGCTCCAGTGGAAGGTGTCCCTGCCTGTGGCAGGGGTTGCAACTGGATGATACTAAGGGCCCTCCCAACACAAACCAGTGTGTGATTTAAGGCCATTCGTTTTCGAAAGAGATAAAACATCCTTAGTGTTAGAAACTTTTTTTCTTTATTTCAGAATTGGAATTTTTTTTTTATAATCAGCGATAACTGTGATGAAGCTTCAAGGATTTGGGGAAGCAATGGTGTAATACTTAATAGCATGGTATTCTTTTGTCTTTCAGAAGTACAAATATAATGTCAGGTGGCTGAAAATTTGCCTATCAAAATGTCAAGTAAGTCTTCAGATTTTTCTTCCTTTAACTTGATGAATTAAACATCTGGTTCAGCAGAACCTGTTTGTGAGAGAACATTCTTATTCCTTGCATTAAAAGGAATGAGATAAAGTGTAGTTATTCCTGACCAAACTCTAGGCCTTAAATCTTGCTGAGGCTGATTTTCTGGCATGTTTGCACAGGAAGTCCAATTCTCACAGTTTATTCTAAATCCCCTTTCAAGGCATTTCTGCTTATCCTCTTTTTAATTTACCTGCTTATAAATGGATTTTGTATTTCTCAGTCTTTTGCCTAAATAAAAGGCTGACAATAGAGCAGTTCTGTGGTCTTAACTTTTTTCCTCTTTTCTTTCTCTTATATTCTTTGCTTTATGCTCTTCAGTGGCAAAATGCAAAGGCTTTGAAAGTGGGATTTCTGTCTTGGTTTTGTAAATTGCTTAAATGTTTGCCACAGCAGATACCTTATTAAAAATCATTCAGTTTTTCAAGGGGAAAAAAAATGTGCTTACATTTATATCTTAACAGAAAGGCCATCTTATGCCCCACCTCCTACCCCAGCTCCTGCAACCGTAAGTATAGTGATTTTTCTCATTAACACAGACATGGTAATCTAGTCTTTAATAACTTACCAGAGCAATAATTACGGAGTTGCATCACCTTCCTGTATTGGAAACACAAGCTAGTCATAGTTCATTATTAATATGATATGCATTAATTAATCTCATTTCTTCAGCATTTTGGCAAAGAGAAGCTGAATAATTTTGCTTTGCCTTTAAGGCTACATCCTGCAGATACTGAATTTTCTGTAAGCAGTCAGTTGGTCTTAAATTATTCCCAGTGGGTTGCACCAGTTCACTGGAATAGTTGACAAACTGATATATTTAATTCTAGAACTTCCCATTCAGCCTGTGCCAAGATTATGGGCAAACAGAGCATTTTTCAGCTGATTTTCAGAACTGTGCCCATGTTTGTCCATGTTTTAAAAGGTACTGTTACACCAGTACATGGTGCTATGGAAGGACTTCAAAAGCAAATGCACCTCTTCTGTAGCACTCACATTATGTATTCACATGAGAAAATACAAATCTTTCGTACAGAAGAATGAGTAAGGATGCTATAGTGATTTATTTTCTTTTTTTACCAAAGAAAATTGGAAAGCTGTTATCCAGTAGAGTGTTCCTGATTTCTGCATCTGGAATGAAAACTGCAGGATGGCATTTAGATGAATGTGATCCTTCAGGTTTATCGTGCCATACTTCACATTCAGAAAGGCTTGAAAAGTACAGAATGTATAAATATAAGTCATGTTCTTTATAAACTTCCATAAATAAAACTTTATTTGTGTAGTCTGTTCAGAGTTTTCATTTTGCACACAACGGAATAGATCTGTGCCAGTGTCAGAAGGAACATGATGGCATCTGCTCTTACAACTGGATTCCTGCATCGAGAGCTGTGCACATCCGTGTGTGATTCTTTGGGATGTAGCATGGATACAGCTGTTAAAGGGTTTCTATCAACGTGGTACATTCTCTAGTCACTTTAGAAGGATATATGAAACAAATGTTCAGCTAGTGACATGCATGACCTATCTTGCAAATGTCTTCTGTATTACTTACTTTGTGCAGGCCTTCAGGTGATAGTCTGTGCTCTGCTAATGCAAGTCCTCAGAGTAGACAAATAACCCTACTGCTTCTATGCATGACCAGCTCCAGTTACTACAGTCAACAAAGCACCAGTAGTTAACTGCATTATTATAGCTGAAGTAAAAATTCTCCATGTAATGCAAGGTAGTTCCCTTGTAACATCTAAATCTTGCCTAGCAGAAATAAAGAGTTAAGCAGACTGAGATTACAGTTGTCATCTGGTTTTATTGAAGAAGTGTAGTTCAAAACTGGTTATGGCAACACAAAACCTGTAGTAAAATGGTGTCTTATTAAATAGTGATTGTCTATGTTGTGATCACAGGTACATGCCTTGAGTAAATGTCAGCTGCTGTGGCTGAGATTAAAAAGTTGGCTATGAATATATAGATATAAAAGGCTGTCAAAGGATAATCTTACTCTGTATATGTTTAGAAATTAACTGCAGTGTGTCTGCATGCACTTGAAAACTTCACGAGTTAATGTAGTTTAGCCTATAGGTTCTCTTTGTTCTGTATTTATTTCTCATACCCTGGTTCTTGAAATCCTGAACTGACCTGTGCAAGGTTTGTAGTTGTGTTCTAGAATGGGTTCAGTCAGCAAATCACTTCAGAACACATCTGCAGTATGTGATGCTTGTAAGGGCTAAAGTGCTACTAAAGAGTGGGAGAAGTTGTGGATGAAATGCTACAGGATATTGTGATTGCCACAGGACTTCATAATTGCTATTAAACAGTAGATCCACTGGGTTTTTTTTAACCAACAAAATTTAACTGGGAAATGGGATAATGGAAAAAAGGCAGGAGAGAGATTTATGTGAGGAGGAAATACAGTGAACCTTCTGATACGTGACTGTATGTCGATGATGGGTAAGAAGGAATTGTAAAGAAATCCAAATTTTCCTCTACATTACTGAGGTGAGAATGAATGGATCCACTTTCAAGAATGAACAAAAATGTATTCTTAAATTGTCTTGGATTCAGTCACCTGTTAAGACTTGTTTGTAGCCTCTGACCTGTAGATCTTACTGCAGTGTTTCCTCACCTCTGTCAGCCTGCAGCCTACTCCAGAACAGAAGGGGGTATCTCTGAATTGTCATCTTTCCCAGCTTGCAAATCCCAGATCCCCAAACTGCATCTGTGAACCACCAGGGGAGTTCAGATACTGGCAGTGGTGCACAGGTGGTGCTTTGAGAGATTTATTCCACCCCCTGTTTATTGACAGTATAATGTTTGTTGGAAAGGCAGAATGATGGGAAGAAAAGCAGGCAGGGATTGTCACTGGTACCTTAAATGTGGATTGTGGGGATTTCTGTGTGATTACTGTGTGCTGTGTTGCTGTGTGAGCTTAACCCTTTGGCTCCAGGAGTCTTTCTGAATTACTTGGTGGCTTATGTTACACAATCTTACTAGCCATGAGGTGGATTTATAGAATACTTGTTTAAAAGAGTTACACTTAACAAAAATAAAATCACCAACTTTAGAAACTTGTAGTGACACTTTTGCTTAAAAATCTTGTTTCCTTAATAGGTTTTTACTGGAGTAAGTTTTGTGTTAAGAAGATACCAACTGCTACATCTCATTTGCTTGTTTAAATTCTGGTTGCTTTTGCATGCCATATTGCAGTTCATTTTCATTTCTGTGTTTTCCTCGTTTGAGCTCATTTCTCATTCGTGTTTTTGTCTCATTTGTTTCCATCAGCAAATGCCCAGCACACCAGGGTTTGTGGGATACAATCCATACAGCCATCTGGCCTACAACAACTACAGGCTGGGAGGGAACCCGGGCACCAACAGCCGGGTCACGGTAGGAGAATCAACTATTACATCATCCAGCAAACAACAGGAGTTGACCAGGAACGGCTCTAGGGTTAGGTCCTTCTGAGGCTTGGCTGCTGCCACTTCTTTATAAAACCAGAAACATTACTTCTTACTCTTATTCCACCTCCTTAACCCCCTTCCCTCTCACTCTGAAACCTTTTGCAGGAAAATGGACTTCTACTCAGCAGAGAAAACTGTGGTAATCATGTATGTTGCAGGACTCCAGAAAGACAGACTTTGTGGTCTTCAGTGACCACTGCATGCTCAGGGAAGAGTTCTGTAGCCTGGGTATGAATTCTTGGAGGGAGGGAACTGCTCATTTTACTGAGGTTTAGTCAAAGACAAGAACATTTTGCAAACTGGAGATCGTTGGTAATAGTTGCATCATACTGTTGAACCATGCAAGAGATGCAAGCCTTTGTTGTTCTTTCCACTCCTAGTCTGGTAATAACTACGAAATCCCAGGTTCAGAAATTACTTCTTTCAACAAAAGTGTGATGATAATAGAATCCTTTCAGATCTCATGTACTCTGTCAGGGTGTGGAAAATGGATGTTGCATTCATTTTTCACAGAGTAAACCAAGTGAGATGGAGTTCAGTGATGAGAGAGGTGACGGCTTCTTTCAAATGCAGGTCAAGTCCTGAGCGTTGGATGCAGTTAGGAAACAAAAATAGACACTGGAAGTGTAACATTTTCTTAACTAACACAACAGAAACAGAGTAAATTCCTGATTTTTGTAAAGTTCCTGTAATTCTCATAACTTCAAGGTTTTCATGTAAAACTTTCTGCCTCAAAAGATCTGATTACTTTGGAACATGATAAAAGGATTTCTCAAGGAACAAATAGATGGTGTGTTTAATGAAGTGTACACCTTTTAAGCCTCTTATATAAACCTTCTTTCAGACTTCATTTATGAAGTTCATCTGGTTTGTTAAAACGTTTACAGAAAAGACCTTCCCCATACAAGCTGAAACTTGACTCACGCACTGTCTGAACAGAGACTTTTTTCTTTATACAAGAATAAATCAGGTTTCGTCTGAGAACTTCCATTGTTTCTGTATGTCATAAGCATATACAGCCTTCTCTGCCATGCATATATCAGTATATGTATGGTGTCTTTAAATCCCTGTTAATTTAAAAGCATTAAACAGTTTCCGTTGATGTTTTCCAACCCATCTGTATGTGTATCTGTGTATACATTTGGTAATGCACATACCTCATGCACATTATTTATACACAATCCTGTGCGCATCGTTTCATAGAGCTCCATAAATTCAGCAAACCAAAACATACCAAGAGGAAAAATTGGAAAGCTGAACACTGAACATGGGCTTTCTTGGCCAGATACATTTGCTTCTCTATGGCTGTAGTCCTGGAAAATCTTGGAACTACTTTATATTTTCATGAGAATGCTCCCGCTTCATGTAATACAAGTCCTGGCATGTGGAAGTGCTTGAAGAGTGGAGGTTTCCAGAGCCTGCAGCTGCCAGGGACTGTCACGTTGCTGCACTGTTTTAGGAGAAAACCCTGTCAGGTGTTTTGTAGGTTCAGGGGCCAAGAGAGGCTGCAGCAACTTCCTATCCACAGCAGTTAGTGGTCATTGTATTTGTTTAGTGTGAGCAAAGTGTGCAAAGCTAGAGGGAGATAATGGCACAGAAGGATATCACAGGCTAATTTGGACCGTTAAGTACAGTTCAGAGATAATGCACACCTTGGCAGCTCAGCTGGATGGGGTTTAGTTGGCTCCAAAATACCACTGACAAATTTTGCAGACAAATAGATTGCTAAAATGATTTGAGAATGAAAATATATCTCTAACATTCTGATCTTAAACTCCTTGTATTTTTTCCACCTGTACAGTAGCCACATTAAATTTGTCAAAACAGGTAGAAAAAATTGTTCATCAGCAGTGAGAAAAACGACCTGCTGGGATTGGTGTTTCCATTTGAATTTCTAAGCTGCCTATTTCAGTTTAAGAATATGGAGCCCTTTTGAAGATTTATCTAGTTACTGTTCTCTGAACTTACAGCTAAAAGGACAGACTTACATTGGGAAAACATGACTCTGAGGACCAGCTCTAGTTAGTACCTGTTCCCAGCTTGGGTGTCTTTTTGGTGATGTTGTTTGCTTCTCTTAGTGGGGGTGTGTGTGGTTGGTTTGGGTTAATTGCACAAGAATGAGTGTTTTCCAAAACATATGTGTAGACTTTGCCCAGTGATCATGTTAACGAATGGATTTATTCGGTTCTTTTATAGGCTTCCTCTGGTATTACCATTCCAAAGCCCCCCAAACCCCCAGACAAGCCCCTGATGCCCTACATGAGGTACAGCCGGAAGGTGGGTATACAGTGTCAACCAAGTTACAATGAAAGTTAGTGTTTGTATGTGCTAACAATTAATTGCTATCATCTTAGTTTCAGCTTCTAAACTTTGACTTCTAACAGCCTGCACATTCTCTTAAGGGAATTGTAAAGTACAGATGCATTGCCCTTCACAATGAAGGCAGCAGTAGTCTGTTCACGCAGTTGCCAGTTTCTGGGGGGAAAAGTTTTCTCTAAAATGCTAAGTACTACCACTGTCTGCTGACAAGGATCCGCCCTGCCACATGCAGAAGTTCCTGTGACTTACTGACAGAACTTTTTTATATAAAGGAAGTATTCCTTGCGGTATACTGGGCTTGGTACAGTGCTGTAGCTGGACTGAAGAGTAGCAATGAGTGGACTTTGCATGTTCTCCTTCACCAACCTAGCCTCTGGCACCGTTTACTTCGCTATTCTGTGAACTGTTTGACAGAAAGTAGGAGAGAGACTCTTGTGGAGTCTGAAATCTGATGGGGCATGGGGAGGGCATGTCAGCCTGGCTGAAGCGGGTGAGCCAGAAGGAATTCCTTCCACTTCTGGTAAAATACCTTTACCAGCATGTCTGTCTTAGGCAAAAAACCATCAACAAAAAAAAAATGTCAAGTGGCACAGCAAGAAATAACACTGGCAGCTCTCCTTTTTGGTTTTTCTTTTTCCCTATAAAGTTAGAAACTTTCTTGGTGGAGTCAGAACTTGTTGGAACTCAAATTGATCAGCAAGACTGCAAAATATTTTGCAATGTTACATTCTGATGTGAAAAGCTCAGTGCTCTTTATCATAACCCACTGCTGGATGGGTAGCCTTTTTCTTTCCCCGAGATGCAGCGATGTGCATTTAAGAAGAGAATTAAGAGGGTTAAAGGCAATATTCTCATGAAACCAAAGCCATTTCAGCAATTGCCTGTTTCAGTAGATGGCTTCCTACTGACCTCCTGCCCCAGAAAATAATCGAGATAGTTTAGCCAGACTCATTCCTAACTTAATCCTGTTTTTCATGGTGATTCCAGAAAGAACACTGAGATGACAATATAAAATGTGTAATTTGGAAGTATTTAGATATCATTAGTAAAGCTCCAGCTGTTTCTGTTAAGGTCTGGGACCAAGTGAAGGCGTCCAATCCTGATTTGAAGTTATGGGAAATTGGCAAGATTATTGGAGGAATGTGGCGAGATCTCACTGATGAAGAGAAGCAAGAGTATTTGAATGAATATGAAGCTGAAAAGGTAAATGGAAGAAATCTGGGATGTTTATTACAGCTGATTCTTCTAGGAACTGGTCTGAGAAGAAAAATTCATCTTCCCCATGCAGTGGTGTATGAGGCATTCAGGAGACCCCTGTATGTAACTTAAATGGAAGTTATATCCTGACACATCTTTTAGATTTTTTTAAGTAACTGTACATCAACTGTGACTGGTCAGTTTTTAGACCTAATTCAAAATGAAGTATTGATAATTGAGTGTCGATTTTAACTGTTTAATGAATGGATTTGCTTGTACAACATCAGTATTGAAAAGATTGTCTCAACACCAAAATCCTCTTTCAAAACTGGTGCTCTGCAACTACTGCTATTGTCATGAACGTGTTCATGAAAGACTTCCAGTCACGTAGGGTTTGGTTTTCATGGTGTAATCTGGTGTCACTCCACACTATGACACAGTGTTTTGTTTCTTAAAATGTTACCACTTTTAGGGTTTTTCTTGTGATTTTGTTTTGGTTTTATTGATCCTGATGACGAGAGATGACAGCTACCTGTGTGTCTAGTTTGGTAAGTGTTGGGGACCTTGACAAGACTGGCATTGCGATCCTGAGGTAACAAAGGGAATTGTCCAACTGCTGTGTTGACCTTAAACCTGGTAGGCATCTGAGGCTGTGTGTAACCTGGTCAAATCTAAGCTGTTTTTATTGCAGGTCAATAGAGAAGTGCTTCAAAGCTGGATGCTCTCAGTTGAAGCAAACAAATAATCAAGGGATTCTATTTTTTAACTTGGTCATGATGTTTAGATTGTAAGCTCCTTGGGGCAGGGGCCATCCTGATCATATTTTTCCAATGCCTAGGTAGAAGTATTCCAGTCCTAACCATAAAGAAAACAAGATGCTTAGGTACCTTTAACATTTAACATTCTGTAGATTATATTTTTTTCATTGGAAGTGTCTCAGATCACTGTACAAAATCTAGACTTGGCACATTTTAAAAGGGAGATTAAAGAAAGCAAATCAAAGGGCAAAAATACTTCAAAGAAGGTGAAAATAGTGGTGCAGACCTGCTACCAGGAGGAGACTGTAGTCTGGCTGCAGCATTCTGTATCATCCCAGGGTAGGGATCCATCAAAGAATGGAAAAATCTTAAGTTATTTTGAAAACTGGTTCATGACATACTGCAATAAAGAAAGAGAAGAAATCAGAATCAAAGATCTAGTTAGAACTCCAGAGATTTATTGACAGTATGTTAAGTTCACTAATTATTTTTATCCTATCAGAGCTCATCTGATCATAAATGCCTTGTTCTGAGGCAGTTGTTTTTTAACTCTCAAAAAACAAAGCTGTTGTTTAATAAGACTTCTCAGGTATTAAAGCTGAAGCGTACCTAGAAGCACAGCTAGTGTTTCTAAAACATGAATGACTATGGATGAAGTTCCAGTTGTTAAGAAGAGAATATAGTCATTTGTGTATCACTGGATGATTCAGAATAACTTTTCTGTACAACTACAACACGAGTTGTACAGGCTGCAGTTGTGTCTAGGCTGAAATTATCCCCTCGTGCAATCAAACGCTATTGGTCACGTTTCAGATAGAGTACAATGAGTCCATGAAGGCCTACCACAACTCTCCTGCATACCTGGCCTACATCAATGCCAAGAGTCGTGCGGAGGCTGCGCTGGAAGAGGAGAGCCGCCAGAGGCAGTCACGCATGGAGAAAGGGGAGCCCTACATGAGCATCCAGCCCGCAGAGGATCCCGATGGTAAGCACAAAGGGGTCTGTGTGCACATCCACTGAGACAGTGCCATTACAGGACCAGCAGTAGAGAAAAACAGATGGAGATACAGAAAACTACCAGTGTACAGCTTACAGTGTTTAACATGACTTCCTTCCTATTTTAGTACCTTTAATAGTGATTTTCATTATCAAGTTTTATTTCATACAGCTAAACAACTGACTTTTTCTTGATTCCAAGGTGTCAAAAGTTATTTCAGCCTTTAATTATGATGAAGTAATGCTTACAGTTCAAATAAGTCTGCTTAAAGCCCTGTAATAGCTTTAGTATATGCATTGTAAAAGGCTTAGATGCCTGATTTAATCCAGCTCAAATGAAATTGTGTGCTTTATTACCAGAAGCACATAATTCTGATAGGCAGAGCTCTGGTATGATTAAGAGCACCTGAACCTTTAATCTGTTCAACAACTGTCAGTTGAGATTGAGGACATCAGTTACCTTTGCTGCTGGCAAGTTGATGAGAAGGTTCTCAAAGTTTATTTGAGTGCGAGGAAAGGCCCCACCCGGTGGAAACACTCAGCCCTAGCCACCCAAGGGCTGCTCTGCAGTTCACAGCCCAATGCTTGTTGAAACCTGAGGGGGAAACATGTAATCAGATACACCCATTTTTTTTCCTTCCCCTTTGTAAATGCACACCTTGGAAAGAAAGCGCACAACAAGCAGCATTTTACCCAGTGGGAGGTAACTGCAGAATTCATGTGAATGCATTTAGTGTTCCAGTAGCTGGCACTGGGGACTTCAGGAGTTCGGCTGCCTCCAGCTGCATGAGGCCCCAAGTTGCATCTCTTCCCATCTGGGACCAAACAGCAAGTTATTTCTGTGCCAAAAACGTTGCTTCTGTCCCATCCTGCCATCACTAGGGTTAAGAACTCTCGGCATGAAAGGAATCTTAGTAAGAGGACAAAGGCACACCTTTAAGGAGACCAATTTGCTCAATACTTTTGTATCTATTGCCTTCCCACTGTTTTTCCTCTTCTTTGCTTCATTTAATTGGGTACCTCAGTGAAAAATTGAACATAACACTTTGAAATAAAGGAGACAGAAACTTTCATTAAAGTGGTTACCTTCTTTTGTTACATCTTCCTGCATGATAGCTTAGGACTCTTCTTAAGATCTCTCTGAATAGATGGAGAATGATCTCGATTATGAAAACTTGATGTGAAATAAATTTGATTTCTGGACTCTTCTACGTGACATCCTTCTGGAAGATTATTCATACTTGGTGCTTAACCGACTTTAATACTCAGCTAAATTTGAGTTATGCTCACATAAGTTTCTTCTATTTCTTTACCAATATTCAATGCTATTTAATTACTATGCTTTAAATTCTAATCAGTTTGACTTTTAATATTGCATAATGCTATAGTTCATGTTAAATTCTGTGACTAGATTAAAGTTGCCACATCTTGCCAGAAATCAGAAACTCCTTTAATTGGATCAGAGAGAAGAAAACTAAATCCCTGACCTGAAATATTCATAGCTCTTTGTGATTAATCCTGTAGAGAAATGTCAAACAAGACAGTTTAGTTCCTGTTGTGCTGCCTTTAATTCCTTTTCTGCACGAGGAGCTTATAAGGAGACCAGCACCTTGACCCATGTGCTCATGTATTTTCTCTCTTGAAGAGTTTTGGGTTTTTTTTTCTGTAATTGTTCACAGTGAACTGCATTTACTAAAAAAATAAATCATTGCTCTTAACACATTACTGTGAATTTTCAGTGATGAGTAAACATATCACTGCTTGAGGCTTTCATTCCTCAAGTGTTTCAGGATAAGTCCGTCTGATGTGTGCTACAAAGCTTATTGAGAGAATAGTCACTCTCCTGTTGGTATTTTGTAGTTGATACTGTTCTGGTAACACGATTGATCAGGAATGTGTGTAGGTTTGGGTTTATTTGGTGTACTTATAGTCCCTCTTGCTCTGGAAATGCAGAAAGCAGCACAGGTGGATCCAAATTTCAGGCTTGTAGGAAATGCATGTCAAATCCCAGCTGTTAGAGCTGTGCCAGCTAAATAGTTTGTCCTCATAAGGTGATTTTTCTGATGTGATGTTCTGTATGTGTTATTGTGAACTTGGTGATGTGATAGCAACTGGTGTTAAGGTTTGTATCTTGATTTTAAGAAGTGGTACCAAAACTAGGCTTGGTCCTGGTTTTGTGGCATTAAAGCAGTTGCACTTAACACTCTTTTTCCAGACTATGACGATGGGTTTTCTATGAAGCACACGGCCACGGCTCGTTTCCAGAGGAACCATCGTCTCATCAGTGAGATCCTGAGTGAAAGCGTGGTGCCTGATGTCCGCTCTGTGGTCACCACAGCTAGAATGCAAGTTCTGAAACGCCAGGTTCAGTCTTTAATGGTTCATCAGGTAAGGACAAATGATATGAAGTGTTGGTGAAGATAATGGTGTTGGGCTGTACTCCAAGTCTCTGATAGGTTGATCATCTGCATGACTCTTCTTGTTGGGTGTCAGTGTTCTCTACGCTCGAACAGCTCATCTGTCTTGGGAGGTGCAAGACATGAGGCGTCACCTCCCGGGCTGTTTTGTTATTAAGAGTCACGTTAAGCTCTAGTGTGTTTTTTAGGATATCTTAAGTATCAATTCCACACCTCTTCACCATTACACATAACCCTTGTGTACGTATTGGAGTCTCCTGTTTAATGGGCACTGGTGGAGTTGTGATTTTGGGGTAGCTTATGACTCATAATCTTGTTTGTAACGATTCTTAATTCCAGTAAATGGTCCCTATTGTAATATTTTTCACTGCTAAACACATACAAGGAAATCTAGTGAGGTGTTTCACTTTGCTTTGACTGGGCATGTGCCTCTTCCAAACACGTACATTACCAGAAGACCCCTCTGTCAGTATAGTCAGTGTACACATAGGTGAAAAAAACTGAGACACCAGAGTTTAATGAACAAAAGCAGATCTGGAGGGGGTCTTTCCTTTGAATTGTGGTCTTTCTGCATTAGAGAATGTAATTTATGTGTTCCATTTATACATACCTGTAGGGTGTATAATATGAAAGAAAACATGTAGGTTTTATGCTGGAAGATTCACCTCAGGTACATACATAGTGTTTTCCACTTGCAGTACACCTCGCCAATCCTGAGTGACTGCAGAGACCTGTTTATTCATACTTTTCAACAGCATAAAGTCATTTATATATTACATAGGTATATTTTTAAATACTGGTATTTCTATAGGTAGCTGTAAATTGTGTCCTGCTCTCCAGATGACAGCATAGTAAAATTCTCACCATTTATCTCATTCCAGCGTAAACTGGAAGCTGAGCTTCTACAAATTGAAGAGCGTCACCAGGAAAAGAAGAGGAAGTTTCTGGAAAGCACAGAATCCTTTAATAATGAGCTCAAAAGGGTACAGCTCTTGTTTTTCTTCACTTTGAGGAATCTACTAGTTACCCATTTGTACAAGTGCTCTCCCCACAGTTCTGTATCCGGTGATGTGTAATTACACAGCTGAGGACTGCAGTGTCCTTGCATGTGCATGCTGGAAAGTGCACAGGGTTTGTGCTGTTTCATGCTCCATCAGTGACCTTTAGTGGTGACATTCAGCCAGTACAGCTTGGAAGTCCCCTCAGGCATCATGGCTTGAGCTCACGGGAGAGTAGCTCCAGCTCAAGGAAGGTGGCCTAAAGCCACTGCTCTCTCTGTCCTTGTCTGCATTCAGAAAACAAGCTTTAGCTGGTTTATTCCCCCCTTTTTGGTAACAAGCTTGTGCCTCTCTGCCCAGTTACTGATGTGTCTCCCTCTCTAGTTACTGATTATAAAGTTTAACAAAGCAAAAGAATCTTGATTTAGAAATGTTGAGCTCATCATTGGGTTTTACTGATGTTTAACTGAGGCAGTAAAAGCTTTCCTGGTTTGTCTCTCTTTAATTGCCAGTTATGCAGTTTGAAGGTGGAAGTGGATATGGAAAAAATTGCTGCTGAAATTGCTCAGGCGGAGGAGCAGGCTCGCAAGAGGCAGGAGGAAAGGGAAAAGGAAGCAGCAGAGCAAGCAGAACGCAGCCAAAACAACATCACAGCTGAGGAAGAACAGGCAGCTAACAAGGCAGAGGAGAAGAAGGAAGAGGAGAGTGCTCCAATGGAGACAGGTAAAGGCACAAGAAGCCCATTGTGGCCAGGAGTGTGCTCCCTCTGGTTTTACTGTGAGTAGGAAGAAAGGCTTCAGCACAATAACAGAATAGAGAACTTGATCTTTGTGACCTGTCACGTCTGCTTTCTTCTTAAATTGCTCCTTTTTAAACAGGACAGAATAAGACACCACAACACCCTGTTTAATGCTTTTGAGTTAATGTACACAGGGGAAAAATGCTTTCTAAGCCCCTCTCATCCCTTAAATACAGGTTAGCCAGAAGTAACTGAGAGTTTGTTTGTGCTGGTATCAGCATTAGGAGGACGTGACAGCACTTACCCTGCTGCTCGCACCAGCTGGTTTGCAGGTTCTGTACAGTGACATTAGAAAATGGTACTGGACTGGAGCTTGTTGGTTGTCAGTAAAGTAGCCAGTTGTTGCCATACCAGAGTAAGCACAAGGGAAAAGGCACCAGGGAGCTGGAATTGTGCTTCTGGTGTAACAAGGCTTTCTTATGGCTGGCTTCTTGTTACAGAAGAGCCTCACCCAGAAGAGAGCACAGAAACCCAGCAGAACGGAGAAGAAGGAACATCCACCCCCGATGACAAGGAGAGTGGCCAAGAAGGGGGTGACAGCACTGCAGAGGAGGGAACCAGCGACAGCAACACTGGTTCTGAGAGCAACAGCGCGACAGTGGAGGAGCCTCCTGCAGACCCCAGTGCCGAGGACAGTGAGAAGAAAGAATAAATATTGACTCATTTCATGTGTCTCTTTAAGGAAGTACTGGTTTAGTTTCAACATGTGCTATGCAGCTTTTATATCTTCCCTGCGTGTATCCCTTGTTCCCAAAGATACTGGGCTTCAGTAACATGTCACATTATCAGCAGACTGATGTCTAGGGGCCTTTGGAGGCACAGGGTGGCTTAAAGCAGACAGAAAACCTGTTAAAATACAGATAGGTCCTTCCTATTGCTTGGGATTTCTCCCCTAGAAGAACAGGTCTGGTTTTGGTTTTTACATTACAAATCAGCCCTTCTACTGTTCTACTTACATGATAACAGTGAGGAGGCCTTTCTCAAAGGCCCCTCTTGGCTGTTTGTGGCTGAAATGTGATGCTGATGGGCCTCCCCTCTCTCCGGGGGTCTCCTGAGGAGCTTGGCTCTGTCCTGACACATCAGCTTACTGCACCACGACCCAGAGCATGTCCTTGATCTCACAAAACCAACCCCCCAGCAGCCCCACTACTTTGGTTCTGGCCAGCCAGGACCCAACTCTTTGCTTTTAGAGAAAGCTTTTGCTACTCGTGAGTGCTCCTAAGTGAGGCTGATGGGCTCGGTCTTGGGGTGTTTTGGTGCAAGAGAAGCTGTTCTGTAGTGACAGAAACTTGCTTGCATTCCACATGCAACATTTCAGGAGACCCACTTCAAAGGAATAAGTTTTAACTGTTCTTTTGCTGTAAATGATGTATCCGGGGGTGGGGTGGGGGGGGAGGTTTCTAGTCAGAGCAGCCTTTGCTTTCTGTACCAATGAACTCCTTTATTTCCTACTAAGAGACCAGAATCACCCCATTTTGTCCCATGATAACCTTGAAGCCCTTCTGAAAATAACCCACTGAATTGCAACAACGGACAGAAGCTGCTTCCTGTACAACTAAGAGAACACATGATGCATTGCTGTCAATAACCTGGAATGTTTTTAGGGAATAGTGGGTCCAGGGGTGGTAATGGTTTGTAAATCCTTTTGGTCTTTTTTTTTTTTTTTTAATGGTTTAAATAAAATCCAGCAAGTTTGGTTTTTTTAAACTCACAGTGCTCTGGTTCTTGTCTCTTAAGGAATGCCTGTGTTTGATTTAGGGCTTCCACCAGCTGCCCTCCTGCTTGAGCCCAGAGGGGAGTAAAACCATGGAATTAATTAGTGACATATCCAACATACAAACAGTTACACTGGAAAAGGGCTTGGAAAACCAAAGCAATAAACCCCTGAGCTGGCCTCGACTTGTGTTTGAACACTGGCTACCTCTAGAAGGATCTTTACAACCAGTGAATGGGAGAAGCTGTGGGGGAAATAATACTTGGAAGTTGTTATTGAGGCATTGCCTTGTATGCACACACAGAAATGAGCCAGTGGCAATTCAGATTTAAAAGAACAAATGGGGTTGCTTGTTCCTGTTTTATTCCCTTGATTCTATCCTGGATCTGATTGTGCTCTAGATCATGCACAAGCTACTGGGAGCAGAGTTCTGCTAGCTGAGCTCCCTTTAATGAAGCATGTTGGTTACACAGAGATTACACCTTAACCTACACACCTGAAGATTTATTTACTGCATTTTGCTCTTCTAAAAAAGCATTTTCTGGAATGATTGTTGCTGCTAACAGAGTTTGATTACTTAAATGGTACCAGCTGCTCCCTGGACCACAAAGCGGCTCAGGTGGAATCAGTTGGTGCAGGAGTAGGAGGAGATTCTGCACCTCCTGTGCTGCAAATGCTCCTTGTGCCACTGTTCTCTGTGCTGGGCTTCTGCAGGCCCCGTGTGCTTTTCATCTCTGTATTCTCAAGGTGTATGCAAATAACACCCTGCACAGGTAGGGTGTGCTGCACCTCAGTGAGTAGGTGTCAACTTCAAGGGCAAAATAACTCCTCCAAGCACATGCAAACCTGAACAAGTGCCTGGTGGGCAGTGTTTGAACACTGACCAGCCCCCCAAAGGACATGAGCATGAGGGACTGGCCTGGTGAGAACCCCTGCTCCTTTGCTGTGCTCCTGCAACAACCCTTCCCCATCCCTGCTGCTCCCCAGGCTGCAGCTGGGAATTGCTGCCCACTTGACATCTCTGATGGAGAGCAGCTCATTGGAGCTCCTGATGAGCCCACAAACCCACCTGGAGGGGCTCAGCAGGACCTGCTGCCTCCCATGAGGATGATGGAGCAGATAAAGCCTGCAAGTGGGTTGTGCTCTTGCTTGGTGGGCTCTCGTGTTATCTGGCTGTTTCTTCAGGTCCTTGTGTGCTTAATGGGGTAAAGGGGTGTCATCTCCTGGGGCTCTTGCTTCCTCCAACTGTGGTGAGTGTCCCCTAGCTCCATGGGAACATGCTGATGTGGGTGCAGGCTGTGCTTCGGGTTCTGAGAGTGCTTGTACCACTGGAGACAGTCGCTGGGGCCCCCTGGGTGCCTCAGAGCTGGCAAGTCTTTCACACCCACAGGGACTGACACGGAAGTGAAGAGGCAAATCCAAAGCATTGCATCACGGTGAGGGAGTTGTTTTCTCTGCTTTGTTTTTAATGTTCATGAAAAAAACAGGCATTTTCTGAGCCTGCCTCGTGTTTTGTGACCTCTGCCATCCCCACAGCTCTGTTGTTCTGTGCCTTCTGCAGGTAAAGTCAAGTAGGCAAAGGTTCCCTTCTGCATTGGGTACTTCTCAAAGCTATGCTTTTATCTCACCACAAAAACACATTTTGTAAAGGTTATGAAGAAGCCTGGGTTTAAAAAAAAGAAGAAAAAAAGCTCTTAAAGGGGTTTTTGGGGTTGTTGTTGTTTTTTTTTATTATTGCATTACTGTAATTATTAGATTTTATCACCCCAAAAACCTCCTGACCTACAAAACTGAACTGCAAGAACAGGCCCACAGTATGGAGCAGGCCCAAAAGGGGAAATACTGAAAGGGTTTAGATGTTCAAATATGAACCAGCCACCTTATGAGACTGTTCAAAAGCAATTCCAGAGGTGCAATGCTTTTCTCCTTGTAAAATACAGGTGGTTTATGCACCTCATCTATCCTCCCAAAGCACTCGCCTGTGTACGTGACTGCGGTCAGCGTCCCATGAAAGACAAAGGTCTGATGTTTGTGCAGTAGCTAAACTTTAGGAGGGACAAAATCCCCAAACTTCTTGGGGATTTAAGCAAAATAATTACCTGTGTGTGCATCACGTGGGAGGTTTGCAAAGCTGATGGGCTTCATGAGGGCTTGGGATGTAGAACCTGTGCTTGCAGAAAGGATTATCCCTGTGACAGAAAGAAAGAAAGAAAACAGATTAATTGAGCTTTAGAGGGATGAAATGTCAAAGTAAAGCTGAATCCTGGCACAAATGGAGGCAAGGGCAGGCTATGGTGTGTGGGGAAATGGGAGCTGCCACTCGCAGCATCATGTTGTGCTGGTGTGCGGCAGCTGGGTCTCCAGTTTACAGAGCAGGTTCTGTCTCGAGGGTCCATGGTGGTGTATTTCTCCCTTTGTTCCTCCCAGCTGTTGTGCTGAACCCCAGCTAGGCAGCCCTGGCTTTTTATTTGATTAAAAAAAAAGCTATTTTGGATTATTTTCTCCCTTTATCAAAAGCTGCTTAGAGAAAATGCCACCGGGCTGGCCACCAACCCAACGCCCCTGTGCTGACACGCCACTAAAGCTGCACCATCTTCACTCTTTTGCTTACCTCTGCTTCCAGCCCTTCAACTGACAAGTGTTCCCAACTGCTGGAATACTGAGAACCCTGCTCCTCACCGGCTCCGGATGAGCGGTGATGCAGGCTCGGAGCTTGCAGAGGTGCATGGGCTGCATCAGGCGATGCCACCAGGCGTCTCTCAACCTCCTGCCACTGCCTGTGTGGAGCTGGAGCGCAGGAAAACACCGTTGGGTGCAAACTGCTCCTAGCTCTTACTCTGCTTTTGTGTAACACCTAGGAAGTGCCAGCCAGCAGCATGACTGCAACAGGGCTGTGCATTTAACACACTGTAAGGCTGCGCATTGTACTGTACCAATGCATCGGGTACTGCACGTGAACTTACCTGCATGCTCCTGTTTGCAACTGAGTGGCAGTTATGGGTTTCTAGCTTCACCTAGATGATGGCAAAGACAAAAGCATTAAAAAGAACACAGGATCTATCTTATTCCTTTTCTTTTTTTCAGTTTCCTAACAAAGAGCTATTGTGAAAAATGCTTCAGCTGTGACAAAGGGATCCCAGGGAAGAATCCTGTGTGCAGGGGCATTGAGGAAAACCACTTCTGCACCAGCAAAGGTTGGTCTGGGCATGTGTCTCCTGCCAAGAAGGGTCAGTCCAGCTTGTTTTGAGGCAAATGGATGCCATTTTCACCCTGCTCTTGGACAACTTGACATGCCCCTGCTCAGTAATCCTGCTACACACGATTCATTAGTCCATAAGGAGAATTTATAGCTGCACTCATTTAATTTTCAATGTGAATTAAGATAAACTGAATCAAGATCATGTTAATTCCCAGTAAGAGTGATCTTTGTGTGGGCTTAATACAGTTTAACTAATCCACTTCAGTCTGTGCATGTGGATTTATCAGTATATCCTTGGACACTTCAGGGAAAAGAAATAATGGCTTTAAACTGGGAGAGGGAGACTGAGATGGGATCTTAGGAAGAAGTTCTGGTACTGTTGGGAAAAGGGACCAACAAGTGTGTGGTGTTCAGGAACCAGCCGCTGTCAGAACACTTCTTGTCACAGTTGAGATGGAGCAGGGAATTCCGGATTTGAGCCTTGCCTTTGCTGTCAGTTCCCAATGACTGCTACTGCCTGCCTGGGCAGAGAAACGCAGCTCTGGGTGCTGTGATAGGTGCTGTGGGTGCTGGTACAACTTTAACAGAGGCTAGGAATCAGCTTGAAGCTCTCTAAGCACCTTGGATAACTGAGTGGAGACCAGCTACTATGCTGGTGGCTTGAGAGCAGGGATCCTGCTCTGGTTTAAGTTCATCTCGTGTTGTTCTCAGTTCCCTTCTTTCACTTTGATGCTTCTTTTTCCACAGCCTTCGAGGGGTTTTTTGAAGTGGTTTTGCAGTTATTGGGTTGGTGTCTTATTTTGATGTGAATTATCACGTACAGCCTCACTTGTGACTTTGAGAAGGCTGTAGTTTCTGTAAACAGCTACTTTCAATTTGCCCTTCTTTTTCACTCAGTTCTCTTAAGAAGGCAAGGGAGAGCTCCTTTAATCCTGGCACCAATTCCAGAAAGAGTGACAGTAACAACAGAGTGAAAAATCAAATGTGATTTGGTTATGATCGTTTTCTAAGGCCAGGGATGAAGAGTCCCAGATGTGTGACAGAGGCGACTGGATGAGCTGCTCTTGGAGAACCCACTGACGTGGTTATTCCCTGTTTCTAAATCCAGCTTCCTTTCAAAGACAGCAGGGGACTGGTGTTAAATCTTGCACCTTCTGAACATGGTAACACCAGCTTGCAGGAAGGATGCTCCCTGTACGGTCAGCAGATGCTTTAACCCTCAGTTTTCTTTAGGAGACCTAATGCTCTCTCTTTATCTCCCTAAACAAGTCATTGCTCACTAGGGAATGAAGAACAGGGAAGGCTTCAAAACACTCTCTAGACATAACCAATGGCCGTGGATCACTTCCTTCCTACTTCTTATCTCCTGTCCTTTCCCCACCTGTTATCCTGGGGCCTGCACTGTTTCTCACATTAATTCAGGCCAGAAAGGATCTGTTGGTTCATCACAGGCCCCTCCATACACAGATGGACCTGGAGGTGTGGGCACAAACTGAAGCAGATCTCATAGGAAGCCACCAAGCCTGGGCTGAGGGCACAGAGAAGCCACCAGCACAGGGGGTTCGGGGCCAGTGGTGGCCAGCGGAGGGGCCGTGCCTCTGCCAGCCTCCATCTCTGAGCACGTTTCCCTCCTCGCAGCTCAGCTGCAGCACTGCTGGGAAGCTGCCCCAGTGCACAGCAGGCACCAGTCTGCTAAAACTGCCCTTTTTCTGCTTTTATTCTCCAAAAATAGACTGGGGAGAAAGGCCATCACCCGTGGCGTGACGCAGGCAGGGGGAAGCTGACTTCCCAGTGGCACCCAGCGTGTGCCCTGCCCTCCTGCGGCTGCATAACCGGCATCATGGGCAACTGCACATCGCTGATAGGAGCCTGCCTGCTGCACTGATTGCTTCCTCTGCTGGGAGGATAAGGATCTTTTATTAACCTCATGGGGAGATCACAATCATGAGATGTTTTTCAGGGCATCCCCCTACAACCACTCTAAGAGCTCCTCTTGGTGAGGATTCCCAGCTCGGGCTGCTCTTAATGTCAGGAATGTACTCCTAGTTCTAACTTCTGCTATTTTCTTTGCCTGAAGGACGATTGGGTTGAAGCTCCTTCCCCAAGCAAACCTCCTGACATCAGCACACAAACTTTCCCTGTGTGCCTCCCAAATGCCAGCTCAGTAGATGGGGAGCTGAGGGGGATGTTTGGGCAGGAGGCAAAGCTGGACATGGGAGATCCCAAGGTCTTGTTTTGTCACTGCTGGGCAAAACTAAGAGCAGAGAAGACATCAGTGTCCCTCCTTGACGTAAGAGGAGGGATGTTGCTGGGAAGCAGGCAGTTGAATAAGGTTCACCCTTGACTCACCAATGCTTCTGTCTGGGTGACTCTGGCTTCCTCTAGTGAAGGGGAGAAACCCTTCCTGGTGCTTTAGGTCAGTGAAGGAGCAGAGAGCAGGGGGATGGAGCTGGTGCTTCCTTCGGAGCTCCATGGCATCTTGTCCTGTGGCAGGGTGCAAGGCAAGAGGACAGGTCAGCAGCTTGCAAGGGACCTGCGATACATGGGTTTGAACTGGGATGCTTTTACTTGTATGCAAAACCAGTGTGCTGACCCGGGTGAGAGCAGCTGCACCCACCTGGACCCACCACTGCTGGGCAAGTGCCTTTTGGGGCTGGTTTCATCTCGATTCACTTACAGAAAACCAGTGGAAAATACAGGCAGGGTTTGAGCTCAGGATGCAAAACCATCCCGTGCCGTGCTCTTCTCAGTACAGCACAGCCTCAGCAGTTCTGCTTTCTACGATCACAGAGCCCGGGCTGGCCAGGCACCGTCTCCTCAGCACTGGGATCCTTTCCATCTTGGCTTGTCCGAGTGCCTTAGCTGGGGGACAGGCTGCAGGCAGTCCAGTCTTACACACAGAGGTACATCACACAGATTCCCATGAGATATTTCATTGCTGAATGAGCTACACTTTCACGTCAGCTCAATTCCACATTACTTGTTTCGATTCAGTTCAGCAAATTCAGTGTTTCAGATGAAGTGGAACCGACCTGAACTGAATTCCTTCTTTCTGAGCTAACTTCCTTGGGAATTTATTGGGAACTGTATTTGCTTTTGAGAAATCACATTGACGAACAACTGCCATCCAGGTCCAAGTGCTGTGACCTGGGCAGCAGATTCTCACTGCTGGTTCCCACCCTTCCTGCAGTGGAGGTGAGCAGAGTTTCTAATATAAGGCTGAAAATACCTGGTCACTTGGCTTTTATATTTATATATATATATATTATATATATGTATGCTTCTAACTATATATACATAGTTAATTAAACTTTAGGGTAACAATTGTGTTCTGGTGAGGAACCAGCCCAGTGTGGCTTTCCTAGGCACAGCTCAGGCCTGGCACTGCCAGTTACTCACGGGATGCACAAGAGACAGGATCACTAAGGCATGAAGTAGGCTGCAAATACACACGATCAAATTAAGCAAAGCTTTAACAACTGCTTGGAGAGCTCCCTAGGTGTCAGACATGACGGCACAAGAAGATTCAGTGTCATAAAGACAGAGTAAATGGTTTATTTTAAAATATTCCCGTTCTTTTTTTAGGGCAAACAATTTGCTTGGATTGGCTCCGACAGCACAGAACTTGGCACATCCTGAAACGCTGAAGTTAAAGCTTGGGAGTCTGAGCACAAACAGAGTGCAACCAGCTGCTTGGCTGCTTTCTCTCCCTGTCTCACTGTGGATGGATTCACCCAGACACTGCTTCCCCCCTGTAGCAGTGAGTACTGGGTGCCAGTGCCTACACAGCCAGCACCAAGGCTTCCTTTCAGAGCTTTACACCCACCGTTTCCAAGTATTCTGCCTGTACCTGAGAGAAGCCTTTCATCTCCAGTCCCGCCTGGGGGAAGCGGTTACAAGATAAAGCTCTCTCAGGCAGTACCTGCCTGGATAATCGATGAACAAAGAGCAAACAGAGCAATAAATAGACTCAGAGATGTGAACTGCATGTGCCCGTGGAGATAAGAGAGAAGCGAGTGCTTCTCACACAGTAAGAGAAGGCAGTGATGTGCACTGGGAGCATGAGGGGCACCTCCTGTGGCACCAGATAAAAACCCTGATAAACCTCCAAGCGCCAGCATCCTGCCCGTGAAGCACCCCAGAATGGGATCAGACCCACAGCACTGATGGTGCTACTGAGAGGGGAGCACTGAGGAGGTTTTTAAGTGACGGGTGGGTTTACACAGGATCCTCCACTTCAGGTATATTTAATTTGGGCTTGAGAGAGCTAGGGAGGGAAACATTTGGCTTCATGCTGAAGCAGTTGGTGTTCAAGGCAAGGCGATCAGTAGGTTTAGGATCAGACTCTTCCGTACTTGAATCTCCTGTTTGGGCTGTGGTTAGCCATTATGGTATCTTAAAGTAATTCAAATAGAAACATTCCACTGTAATGTTGTTATTTCTAACAACAGCAAATCTTCAGATCTTCCAGCACTAAACTATGCTAGGGGAGAACAAACTGGCTTTTCCCAACAGGAAAGTGTTTCCTTTCCTCAAGAGCCATGGACTACTGAATTCACCGGCCATAGCGTTTAGCATGTAGGAAAGGTACCACTCACAAGGTGATGCCTGCCTGCAGCCACTTGCTTTGCAGAGGATGCTGCAAGCAGGCAGGAGAGCGGTGAAGGATGTGGCCACTGGCACTCCCGCACGCAGAGGTGTGGTAGTTGAACACCTTCTCTCGTGCCCTTCTCAGGGTCTGCCATGCGGACGGAGAGGAGAGATGACAAGGGAGGAGACTTCCCTTTGTCCCTTCAATGCCTGTTTCTCATGTGTCAGTGCAAAAGCAGGTCCCGCTCCATCTGATGGGTGTCAGTGCAACGCGTGTGCTGCGGTGCAGGCACTGAGGAAGTACCTGAACCCCAAGCACATGACGGCAGCGTGGCACCCAGCACGGCTCTCCCGTGCTGCTGAAAGCATGGGGAGGAGGAGGAGGGTCCAGTGAGTGTCAGTGCCACCGGGGCGTGCCGTGAGCTTGCAGGGGTGCAGGAAGTATAAAAGAGAGTTTCCCAAAGAGGGTCTCTGGCAGGAGCTGCGGTGCAGGGAGGCTGCGCTGGAACATGCGATGCTCTTCCTAACCTTGTGCCTGCATCTCTGAAACCAGACCATGGAGGGTGGTGAGTACCTGTTCTGCAGCCTCTGGCTTGTCTTTGGCTTTATTAACCATGCCCGAATTCATGTCCTGTGTCACAGGGATGGAGCACTTTTAACAGAGCATTTAACAATACAAATGACTTTCATCTTCCTCATATGCAGCACTGTAAAAAAAAGGCACAGTTCCCTTTGACAAGCTCAAAAAACCTCAAATCACTTCAGAAACACACACACACAAAAATAGGCTCGGAGGCAGTTTTCAGGGGCTGTTTTGTCCTGAAGCAAATGAGCTCTTCTCACACAATTTGTACCTTTCCTTCTGCGTTCTTACCAACAAATTAAGAATAGGACTGCTCCCTGCTTGGCAGGGGTTTAATTCAGTGAATGAATCACGGAATTAGGAGCGAGCCTGTGTGAGTTATTGCTGGCTGAGTGGGTCCAGTCTCTTGCAAAGGGTTTCTATTAATGAACACCTCCAGCACAGCAGCAGAACTCTGCTATAGAGAGCTGGGGTTTGTGCTTGCTCCCGAGTCAGGGCACTCACAGGGGTCTATCCCTCTGCACCACCCTGCCCCAAAGCACCAGGGGAGAGCAAGTGCGCTCCTCTCCTCTTTGGACCATGACCTCCCTCAGTGCAGGGGCTCCTGCTGGAAGCTTCACCCTTACTTTTGCCATCTGTTGCTGCTCCTCAGCCTACCTCGCATAGGTAGGTGGCCATAGGAAGGGGTGGCACTGTGGGTCCAAGATGGGGCAGGTAAGATGCAGGCTCTTCTTGCCTCTTAGGCTCTGATTTACTCCTTTTCCTATGGGCTTTGGGGTTTTTATTGCTCAGACATTTGCAAACACTACTCCCAGTTGCCAGGGAGTGCAGGCAAGAGGGACAATGCAGTAACTCAAGTGGGTAAGCTGGTTTATAACCAGACTAACCAAAGAGGGTTTAGAATACAATCACTGCCTCTCCATGCCAGCCAGCACAGTCAGAGCTGCAGTAAGGATGGGTGAGAGGCGTGGGAGTTCAGCCCAGTAAAGCTCTGTTCCAGAGGTGCAATGGGAGGTGTCACTGCCTTTTCTCTGGGACAGTTTTAAATCAGAGCTTGGAATCAGCTGGGATGCAGGAGGGTTCCCTGAGCATCCCAACCCCACGGGTGAACTGTGGCAGGGAAAAGACAGAATCAGTGAGAACCTGACAAGAAAAGTAGCACAAGTTTCCTGCTTTTTCTGCCCTACTACTACACTTCAGGGGAATATTCCAGAATAGCTCTTTTGGAAGCTGCACAGCAGGATTGCTTCTTGTTAACAGTTATGCAGGAAACACAATGGGCTCACTTAAGAATGAAGCTTTTTAACTTGCTTATCTTGTCTTTGGATCCTAAAAGGGAGGTGGCAGGTAACTCGTTTTCTGCTGTAACACATGTATGGACACATGATAAAAGCACGGCTCCATTCCATTGCGTCTGTGCACTCCTGAAATGATGCTCTCTTTCCTGTGCCAGCTCTAAGGAGCAGAGGGGCAAAGGGGGGAGAAGGGGCACTGAGCTGTTAACTGCAGGGAGTCATTACAGCACCCGGCTATGATTAACTGTTCTCAGAAATACGCAGTTCTTCACCCCAAACCCCACTACTCTGATGGTGAGAAGGCACCTGAAACCATGGTTCAAGAGATAAACAGTGCGTTCCTCACCACCTACACATGTGCCAAGGTGCTTGAGACTGAAACCTTTGCTCTACAGTTCTGGCCAACAGCAGAGGATTCTTTCACCACGAGGGTTTAGGCAGAGGAGGCTTCTTTGGCTGTGCCAATGCTCCCTAAAGCATTCCCGACTCCTGCTGTTCATCCCGTGCATTCCCTAGCACAGGCAGAGAGGAGCGGCTCTGCTCCTGCACTGCCTGATGGGCTTGGGTCAGAGCTGAGCCAGGGCTTTGTCCTGCAGGATTCCACTCTGATTTAACCATCCTACACCACTGTTTCTGCTCCTCTTCCCTCCTCGGCATAGACTTTCTGCTACCAAATACTTCTGATGTCCCCGGGCACGCCTGGAGAGGATCCACAGCTCCTACAGCTGCTTTTAGCTTCAGATTTGCTGCTGATGCTGAGGGAGATTCAGATCAGCTGGATGGGATGCTCCTGTCTGAACTCGCTGACCCCTCTGCCACAGCAGGGAATGAACCTGCACCCTGATGCCCACCCCTTAGCAGCTGAACCATGACTTTAAAACACCAAAACCACCCGGTTCTTTCCCTTTGCTGTCGAGAGAGCCTCAACCAGATGTCAAGGGCTTGAGTTCAGAGGGGTGAATCCCAGTCCTTGTGCTTACTCTATGGAGGAAGAGTCTAAAGCGGATGGGTTGCTGCCTCCTCTCCCCCCGCCCTGCATCAGTGGCAGAGAGCAGACCCCTTCCCTCTTTCATCTGCATGGAGCAATTCTCCTGTCCTCCATTTTCCAGGTCCTGCAGCACAGGAGCATCCTTTTGAGAACTGCAGCACCCGATAATAGGGCCTTGTAATGCATCTGACTCATTTGCTGCAATGGGTTTTTGCTCTTTCTATAAATGAGGTTTCAGTGCAACTGTTTGTGGGGACTTTTGAGGGGGTTTTACTTCTTGGTATTTTGAGGAACAGAACTTTAGGAAAATACCCACAGCAGAAAACTGCCAGAGGGGAGTGGGGAGGAGAAGGAAAAAGAAAGATACCCAGAACTACCTACTAAACACCAGAGCATGCCTCATTTCTTCCCTGCCACTCCTTTGCTTCTGTTCCCTGTCCCAGACCCCTAAGAGTTGTGTCCTGCCTGCCCAAATGGAGACACAGGCACTCGCTTAAAGAATTCATGTGGGAAGACCATGAGGCTGCGTTGCCATCCTGGTTCTGCCTTGGCAAGTGTGTAAGCTGAGGTGGGGGTACAGCAAGAGGGGATGAAACAGGATCAGCTTCTTACTATTGAAAAGTCATTTGACATTTAAGGCACTTGAAACAGCAACTGAGAGAGAAAAGAGTGTGATGCTCTTCAAAGGAATGAGTCAGCTGAACTGCTCCAGGGTCTATACTTGAGTCACTGCAGCATCCTCCTCAGTTTGACGCTTCACAGCGTGCTAGGAAAGAGAAGACAAGAAAAGCAAAGCAGGTCCCCAGGGCTGTGCACTCATGGCTGCTCACATTAAAGAAGGGCTGGGGCTGTGCTGGGGGCACCAGCCCGGTACCCAGCAGCACCGGGTCCCTTCCATGGGATAACAGAAGGATGCGACCCAAGGGATGCCAAGAGCAAGGCACTGATGGAGCGGGGCTGAGGTTGGTGCCTGTCCTCTCTGGGCTGTCAGTGGCTCTTCTCCTCTGCCTCCTTTTATACAGCAGCTAGGAGGTGACTTAACTCTGAGGCCTCAGCCCCTGGGCCAGCAGATGCAGTTATTGCCCATCCCCAGGCAGACACAAGCACCAGCTCCAGGAGGCCCCTGGAAATCAGGGGTTTAAGAGGGTGGAACATTAGACCAAAGGCTCAAATAACCGGTTCTTTAGGCAGAGGTCAAGGACCCCGTGCCTGTATCCCAAGCAGGAAGGGCAGTTACAGTCCAGGCTTGCTCAAATTCACCCAGCAGGTTCAAGTCATCTGGCCTTTCAGTGTATTTCCTGTGTGTAATATGCAGAAGTTAGATCAGCTTGAAGGGAGAGATGGCTACAGCAGATGCTCACCAAACCTCTTCCTGCAGCCTGCAACTGCTCAGGGTGAAAGCCACTGGACACATACAGAGAATAGAGACAAGAACACTTATCCAAGCTTCCCCCCAACTCCTTGGCATACTCCATTCCTGACTGTAAAAGACACCACCAATGCACTGATACACTTGGATTCCCTCAGGAGGACTCAGAGAAGGTGAGGGATGGAGGAACCCAACTGAGCACCCAGCTGCATGAGAATGAAAGGTCAAAATAAGGGGGAAAAGTGGCACAGAATTCTGAGAGACACAAGGGGAAGCTCACAAAGGGGCTCTGGGGATGGGAGGTGCGAGTGTTTGACACGGGGCTGAGGCTCTCTCACCCACACATCACCCCTCAAAACAAGTATCTCCATTCACAGCTACCAAAGTAACTGTTAGTAACGATGCTACTGCGTGCAACTTAAAGTGGGGATCCAGCTGCAGTCACCTGAAGCAGTGGAAGTTCATCCCCCTGGTCCAGCACCATAGCTGACCATGAGCCAGGCAGAGCAGGGGAGGGTGTAAGGGAGCAATGCAGAAACAGAACTGTATGGAAAAGCCATGCTCTCTAGAAGAAATGGGCAGCTGAAAACCAAAGGCAGCTCCTGCCTCTGCCCCAGCCATGCTCAGGGATCCTGGACCAGATAATCATGGAATCATGAAGGAGCAGGGAAGAGAGTGACCGTGATGCAGGGAACTCACCAGTGCCTCCAGACAACACCCTACAATGAGCAGCACAATGCTCAGAGCAGCCAATGGCAACTCTCCCTCAAGGAAGAGCACATCTCCTGCTCCTGCCAGAGCAGAGGCCGAGGCTTTCTCATGGCTGTCAGATCATTTCAGTCACAACTGCCTGAGGTGGATGCTGGCACATGCTTTAAATAGAGCGAAGAGAAAGTTTTCACAGTGGCCTCTATGCCTCTGCTAACCACAGCAGGAAGAACTGTTTGTCTGAGATTGCTCTCACCATTATCACATCTGGCTCTGAGCTCAGCTCTTCCTCCCAGCTCTCAGCATCCTCCATCTCCCCAGCCAAAGGCAGCAGAAGCCAACTCTGACATTTAGACACAAGCAATAAATTTTGGGCAGCTTCGGTGATGGGAGCAGAGCTTTCCTGTTGTGCAGCACTGCCAGGGAGCAGCTGGGACAGATGTATTGCACTCCCAGCTTTCTGCTTTCACATGGGTTGAGCAGGCTGCACCCTGAGCTCGGAACAGGCACAGCAGCAGGCTGCAGGGAGAAAGCATCCACACAGTAAAGGTGCAGGGGTTCACTCTCCTGAGCTACCAGCCTTTACAGGTGAAACTGGAAGGACCACACTCCTGAGACTTCATCTGTGCTCTCACAGTACCTTGTTATGTGACCCTGGGTTCTCATGCGAGCATCTTCACCATTAGCTAACCAGCCATGGGGAGTTTTGCAGGGTCAGGTTTGCCACTGCTGCCTTCTCAAAGTGAGCATCATGTGAGAAGCCCCACTCAGCTACTCACCCTAACAGTGTCTCCTTCTCCTACAGGCAAGCCGGTAAAGGTCACTCTTGCTCTCAGCCTGCCCCTGTTTTTTCAGGTAAGCTGTTGAAAGCCGGTGGTGTTTTTGTTGTGGGGAGGGAGAGCTCTTGAAAGCTCTGACAGGCAAAAAGCAACCACCCACAGCCCTGAGAGATGTGTGGGGCCACGGCTGCTCACAGCACGGGTCCAGCCCAGCAGGAGGTGGGTGGTGAGGCAGCAGAGCAGAAGCTGGACAGAAAACAAACAAGAGGAATGCAAACAAAGGGAGAACAGAAGCAGTGCCATGCACTGCCATTTAAGATGGCCGGGACTGTTAGAACTAAGTCCCTTTTAGCACCAAAATGAGCATTTTCAGGAAAGACAAGAGCATCCTATGCTGGGTGCTTGTGAAGAGCCAGCTCGATGCTCTTTGCAACACCTGGTCAAAGCATTGAAGACCTCAGTCTCCAGTGACTGCATTCAGTGTTGAAGAGCTGATGTGCTCAAGGAGGAGGAGGAGTTCAGTATCTTCCTCTGCCCGTTCCCACTCAGAGTCAATGTGAAGGGGAAGGAGAACCCAGAGCACGGAGCTGTGCCATGACCTGCTCCTGAACCACAGCGCTCTCACAACCGCAGGAGCAGCCTCAGCCACACCACGGCCCCCAGCTCAGGCTCTCCAAGAGGCTCCACAGAGCAGGGAGGGCTTTGCAGCCTCTCTCTTTTCCCTTTCACTTCTGGTGGCATGCCTCCAGCTAGCAGGCAGGATGTGGTGAAAGCCAAACCTGCCTGAGATGGAGAGCACAAAAAGATACTTGGCGATAACAGGCAGAGGTATCCAGGGGAAACCTTTCATCTCTGTGCGATGGAGACAAGGTACTGGAGACTAATAAGGCTCAAAAAAACAGGGCACAGAGACCACAGGCTCACTCTGCCCTGTGTCTTAAGGCAGTGTAGGAAGATAAAACAAGAATAATCAGAACTTAAATCAGGGGCAGGAGCCTGAATGAGACTCCAGCAACGTGCCTGTGCCAGCACCGTAACAGTTTCCTGCTTCACTCCGAGTTTCCTCCCAGTCCCATCAACACCTCTATTCATTTAGTGGAGAAAAGAGCCCGGGGAGGCTCCAGCTTCATTCTCCCATGGAGCTCCAGGCACCCCCGGGCTCACCCCTCACTGTGGGAACGGGACCTCACCATGCCAGGTTGCTGCTGTTGGGCGTCACCACCACCACCGCAGCCTTCTTCTAGCACTGCCACAAGTGAGGAGTGAGCAGCAGGAATATTGCAGATGGGAGAAGGGAGGGAATGCTCAGGTTAGAAAATGCCACGAGGAGGCAGCCAAGAGGAAACGTCCCTGCTGAGAGAAGGAGAACGCTGAAGGACATGTTATCATTCACACTTTGAGAGCTGACTGCGTACAAAGAGCTGTACGTGGGTCCTGAACCACTCTGGAAAGCAGCCTGCAGTCTGCAGTGGTACTGTGGCTGAGCACTAAACAATGCGGGTGGAATTCCCACTTTGAACCTAAAAAGAACCCCTAAACCCCATGTACTGATGGGAAGTGGTTTTGGCCATGAGACCTTGCCAGCTCTTCATGATGTTGGCATGAGCCAATGCTTGGGAACTCCTCTGCGGGCCATGGCTGGGTAATCCTGCCTGCTCACGGGTCAGCACCAGGCTCCCCTCCCGACCCCACAAGGGGCACGGTACCTGTCCCAATACTCTTCCTTTCTCCCCTGTTCTAGGTCTGTGCTGGGAACAACGTCACCGATTACTATGACTCCAACACCACCATCGACTACAACGACTTCGAGGTCCTGTGTGAGAAGGATGATGTCCGTAACTTCCGCGCTGCCTTCCTCCCGGCCATGTACGCCCTCATCTGCTTCACAGGCCTGCTGGGGAACGGGCTGGTGGTGCTCACCTACATCTACTTCAAGAGGCTCAAAACCATGACAGACATCTACTTGCTGAACCTGGCTCTGGCAGACATCCTCTTCCTGCTGACCCTCCCCTTTTGGGCCACAACTGTGGCCAAGCACTGGCTTTTTGGGAAGTTTGCCTGCAAAGCTGTGTATTGCATCTGCAGAATGAGTTTCTTCAGTGGGATGCTGCTCCTCCTCTCCATCAGCATCGACAGGTACTTTGCCATTGTCCAGGCTGCCTCAGCCCACCGCTTTCGGCCCCGGATGATATTCATTAGCAAGGTTACATGCGTCCTCATTTGGCTCCTGGCCTTCATCCTCTCAATCCCCGAGCTGGTTCACAGTGGTGTAAGAAACGTGGACAACAATCCCCGTTGTTCCATCATCGCTCACGACTTGCAGACCTTCAACGCTGGCATCAAAGTGTCCCAAATGGTTTTTGGCTTCTTATTTCCCTTGCTGGTCATGTCTGCCTGCTACCTCATCATCATCAAGACATTACTGCAGGCCCGCAACTTTGAGAAGAACAAAGCCATCAAAGTCATCATTGCCGTGGTCATTGTCTTTGTTATCTTCCAGCTGCCCTACAACGGTGTCATGCTGGCCAAGACCATCTCAGCCTTCAACCACACCAGCTCGTGTGAGGAGAGCAAGCAGCTCGATGTGGCAGATGACGTGACCTACACCCTGGCCTGCTTCCGATGCTGCCTCAATCCTTTCCTCTATGCCTTCATTGGCGTCAAGTTCCGCAACGACCTCTTCAAGCTCCTGAAGGAATTGGGCTGCCTGAGCCAGGAGCGCCTCTGGCAGTTCTCAACCTGCCGCGAGAGCAAGAGGTTCTCCTATGCCATGGAGACAGAGACAACCACCACCTTCTCCCCATGAGCCGAGCTCCAGGCAGGCTTTGACCGAGCTGCAGTAGTCCTGTGCACGTCCTCTGTTCTGAGCTATTGGCAGAGCAAGACCTGCCACTACTGTAGGAGAGAGGCAAACCCAGGAGGCTCTGCCTGTTTCAGGCAGCAAACACTGCTAGCCAATACTCCCATGGATGGAGAGACTCTGGTAAAGCTGGGACTAACAGCAAAGCAGGGGAGAGGGAGCCTGGTGAGTCTAGAACTTATCCCATCATTTCACCTTTATTTCAGTCTTTCCTAGTCAAAATGAGAAATGTTCAGAGCGTTCTCCCTAAAAAGCAACAAATACCAAGAGAAACAGACAAGACTCCCAAGAGCATCAGCCTTGCTCTGAACGTTGCTTTTAACAGGACTGCCTATGGCTCTTCCATACCTACAGAAATGGTACCTGTGGAACTGATCCAGCCTTCAAGCCAGAACAGCACCAGCAGCCTCAGGCTCCAGGCTTGTAAGCAGTCTTCACTCTGCCTTCCCCCATGAAAAGTGAGAAATGTCCATAACTAATACTAAACCCATACATATGATAGATATCATTTCAATAACTTCATATATTATTGTGGAAACTCATATGTTTCTCAAGGAAAGTACAAATTCCACTCCACTTCCACCTGTATCTGGTGTTTCACCTATAAAGAAGGTGCATCCTAAGGAGAACAAGTGATTCCATCCCAACATTGACTTGAATTCTTCAGAAATGCTGCTTCACTCTAGAAATAAAGTCTCCTTTCACTTCTGAAAGGGCACAAGGCTGATAACTCCAAATAACCAGGTGCCAGGATCCTCAGGATTTTAAAGACTCAAGCCCAGGGCAAATCCAGGCAGTTCTTAAGGCAAAACATTCAAATTCTGGATGTAGTTGTGCCCATGGTCCAACCCCTCCAGTCTACCAGCATCTGAAGCTTGCTTGTACCTGGCTTTATCAGCCATGGCGGGCCTTGTGTGCTGTTGCTTGCTGACCTCCAGAGATAAGCAGGAATGTGGGTTTTCTTCTCCCTTCCCAACCAATGTTTCCTTCTAGAGGGACTTTAGCAGCAGTTTGAAGTCAGATACGTATTTCACTTATAAGCTATTGAAAACGTGTTTTGCGTTCACACAGTCCGTGCTAAGAAAGATGCCATTCACATTCACTGGTGTGATTTCAATGCAAAGGACAGTGACGTGTTCAAGACTGCTGCCAGGGTCAGGACTTGAAAGGGAAGTGGCAGCTGAACACCAGATTAGTGTCATGGAAAGTAAGCCCTGGAAGAGCAGCCCAGAATGTAATGCCAGCTGGTGCTTTTACTACACGGGCCAAGATTCCTAAGGACAGACGAATACCCTGGGAACTGCTGGCGTGGGTGCAGAGCCTCACCCTGCAGAACAGCAGCTGGGCAGCTCTGTGCAAAACATGAGGGATGTTCCCATGGACACACGGAGCAAAGCACACGAAGAAGACATTTATACCTCTTTCAATAGCACAGGTAGATCCATTAGGAACGCTGCAGGGGACGCTCTGGATCATAGCTTGACAAACATTCCTTTAGAGACAGGAGAATTACAACCAACCTTCCAAGGGAAGAATTCACGTAGCTGGGTTTCAGACAAGGCTGCCAGTTATACAGCTGGCTGCCATCACAATTAAATCAATTCCTCTTCATAAACCATTTGGCTCTGGGGTACGGGATGTTGCCAAGAGCTGGGAATTGGGAAGAAAGCACTTTCTGCTCCTCATCACCTGCCTGTGCCCCATCCAGCTGTTCAATGCATTTGCTGTTAGGATGTCCGTGTAACACATGCACAAGTGCTGCTTCTCTGACCTCTGAAACGGGGCTTACAGCTGACACTGACGAGTCATTTGTTCTGGGTTTGTTCCTATAATCCTCACTCAGGCAAGGCACTGGGCTAAGGAGAACCCTGCCAGAGCAAGGGATACCCTTAACACAGGCTCAGGTTAGTTTTCTTCATCATTAACAGTGTATTCTCCATGTGTATGCATATATGTAAAGCTGCTTTATACAGAGAAAGATAAATGTGTAAAATGAATGTACCCTGAAAATACACTGCTTTAACCGTACCTTCTCACACAAAATACTTCCACCTAACTTCTTCCAGCAAGGAGAACTGCAGAACACGCAACTGCCCTTGTCCCCTGACTGATAAAAGCCATTCCCCTTCTACAGACTGAGAAGCCTTCAGGTTTTTATCAGCCAGACAATTGAACAGACAAAACAACCTTGCCACTTCCTGGGGTGAATCACATCAACAGTGGCCCAAGGTCCTGATCGAGGCTCCCTGCTGAAGTCTGAAAACTGACTGTATTTTGCTGGTTTGGGACAATAAATTATACCATGTTTTAAACAGTACCTTTGGTTTTCCATGGTGTTTCCTCCATAGGATGCAGCTCATATGTATCAGAATAGTTCCTATCATCTCCTTCTGGTCCTGTCAACTGATCAACCCAGCTTCATAGCAGCCCAAAGCCTGTAAAATAAACTAAGTAGAAAAAGAGCTGCTTTCCTTCCTCTGCTGGTGCACTATAGAGTAACCAAGCCACCAACACATTAAGTAGCAGCCTTTATTCTAACGCTTAGCCCAAGTGCTTTAACTCCACTGGGTACACCTGAACGTGACCTGACCAACGTTCATGTGGAAAATGATGTCATGTTTTACTGTTCACTTTCCCACTAAAGGGGCAATCAGTACTGAAATACCACATCCCTGGGCAACCTGCTGCAGGGAGAGGCAGTGACCGCAGCTCTGGTGGCTACACCACCGACACAAGGTACAAGCAGTAACTGCCATGGTAGTTGTGATGTGCTGCGTGTCTAATCCAGCTCTGCCACTCAACCAGGCCAATGTGGCACGAAGGATGCGCACAGACCTTTTCCTCCTGGCCTCCCCAGCTAACCCATGCACACAGGGATGGTCAATGCCCTTCACAAAGCACATCTCTTAATGGCAACCGTGGAATGAAAAAGGAAGGAGCCCCATAGAAAATGGGAAGACATGCAGCTTGACATTTGAGTGCTAAACCTAAGCACCGTTTCTGCTTTCACTAAACACCTCTGTCATGGTTTCTCCCTAGAGACAAAGTATTAGGCCAGGTTCAGCATCCGGCCCAGAGGTACAAGCAGTGATCAGGAGCATCTCACGACCTCAACATCACAATACAACTCCAGGCAATAAGAGCCTCAAGCCAAGGCTCCTCCAATAAACATGAGGTCTTGCTCACCACAACTAGGTCAGAAGCCCCAACGGCCCCCAGTGCAGGGAGCTCATCTGTGCTGGAGCTGCAGCCTGCGGAAGCAGGGGCTCTGCACCAGGGCACACACAACGTGAAACAGAACCAGGGATGTGCAGAAAGCCACCAACCTCTCAGCAATTCCCTGTGCCCCTTGAGAGGTGACCCAGAACCAAGCCTTCAAACAGTGAAGCTCCTGAATGTTAAGAAAACAGAGACTTACAACCCATATTGCAACCAGTACAGCTCCATCCCCCAAGCAACCGTGCAGGGCTGCACCTCAGGCCACAAATATCCTAGCTAAATATACATAGAACAAATTACAGGGCAAAAGAAAAAGTGCATTTCTAGGATGGCTTTAACCCATTTTAATGCCTTACACCAGCAAGACAGAGAAAGACGTTTCCTTTCTGACTTCTCTGGGGGACTGGGACCAATCTCAGCTTTAAATCTTCCTTAAAAAGTCAGTTAAAAAAGCCTGGCCTTCGTTACAGGAAGGGGTCATTCATCTGCAGTGAGCTCAAAAGCAGGAGAGACATCTCCCACCTAGTCACAGCCAGGTGGGCACCAGGGCATTCCCCTAATCCCTTCCCCAGGTCATTGTGGAAAGCCTCTTCATCACTCCCAAGCTCCAATAAAGTATGGCTGTTAAGCATTCCTCCTTGCCTGCAAGTGCTTCAGCTAGGCACATACATCTAAAAGCCCTCAGTGCCAAATGGATCTGGGCTGGGAGGGAGATAAACTGGGATGAGAGGGAAGTAAATCATTAGGAGGCCTCACTAAGTGCAGTTGCTCCCACCCATATCAGAGCAGACACCAGTTGCTCCTCTCCCTTCTTGTGCTGTCCCAGGTGCTGCTTCCCATCACTCGCTGGTGAATGAACTGATTAATGTGAGCAGGAAGGGGAAGCATCCCCAGGCAGGGCTGTGGTTTCTGATGTGCCCCTTGGGTAGCTGTGGGAGGAAAGTCCTTGTCACCCTAAGAAAGAATGAGCTGGAGTTGAGAGGCAAGCCTAAAAATAAAGCGTGTGTGTGCTGAGGAAGGGTGGTGGCATCCTGCAGCAATCAGAATGGCTGAGACTGGGCTCTGGTTTCCTCTCCCCCCATCTTCTATATGGAGCAAGAACCCAAAGTCCTGTTCTGAGGGCAGAGGTGTCACACCATAGGGGCACAGGTGACCATCGTCCTTCCCAGCTGGCCAGCACAAGTGCCTTGCCCAGGGGCACCTCCTCCAAGGGGTTTTCTCTCCACACCAGGGGATTTCTCCCCTCTTACCTGAATACGATGGATCTGGGGAAACTGAAGTCAGTCGAGACCTCAGCATCCCCTTGTTGTATTATCACAAGCAGCTTTGTGACCTCAAAGCAAGTAGATCACAGACTGAAAAGCAGGGGTTTGTCATGGCTGAGAAGGTGGCAGGACCCACTCAGAGCCTGCTCTCAGCACAAAGGATGGGACAAGAACATGCAGCTGGAATACCATGGCTTAATGTGAGGCGTCCCTACCCATGGCAGGGGCTTGGAGCTGGATGATCTTGAGGTCCTTTCCAACCCAAACCAGTCTGTGATTCTGGGCTGTGTCTGATGACAGCAGCACAATCCATTGCCAGACCACCTTACCCGAGTCAACCCTGCTCCTCTCCCCCAAGCACTAAAGCAGGTAACTGCCCCTAACATCCACCAACTGCCCCTGCAAAAGCACTGATGGAGGCAGCCCCTCTCTTCCTAGCACCACACATCGGAGCCTTCCCACCCTGAGACAAGGCAGGCCGCATGCCTCCAGCTTTCACAGCACTTTCAGGTGCACACACGCACAGCTCTGGGCTATCCCACCTCCAACCTGCACTGGAAGTTCCTTTTCACTCCCATCTTTCAGCAAGCCCCCAGTTCTTCAGAGCGAATTACCCAAGCAGGGAGGCAAACCAACACTTGCCACTGCCCCAGCCATCAGGCTCAGGTCCGAACAAGTCGGGAGACTTTGGGCTCACCTTTGCCACGTGCGTGGCAGATGCAGAGCCCATCTAAGCATGAGCTCATGTATTTGTCATTGCTGAACCCATGCAAATCTGCAGCTTGCAGGAAGCGAAAC